ATATAATAAGATTGTCCAAAGTACAAAAAAAAAATTAGAATTCAGAATCCATTACTAAAATACCCTCAGTTTTTTAGATATTAAAATTGTTTTAAAATTCGTTTATCTTATTTAAAAATTATTTAAATTGAAAAAAATGTTATTCTAAAGATAATTATAAACAATTATTTTTATTTTATATAACAAAAAAGAGAATAAAAAAAACTTCAGTGTGGGATATTCCCATAAAATCTGAATAAAATTTATAACAAGAAAAAAAAATATATTTAGAAGATCTTATTTGAAATTTAACATCTCATAAATATAGAACATGAGTTAACTTTAACACATTCCATCATATTTTTTTTAAGAATGAAGTGTGAGTTTTTCTTTGTTCTAAAATGATATTTATGTGTATCTATTTATAGAGTTTGATTCATATTTATGATAAATAACATGTGTATTTTAAATATTTATTAAAAATATCTAAACGAATTTTCGAAAATATCTTATATATATATATATAAATTCAATATATATCTAAATTAAATAAGAATTTTTTTTCTCATTATTAATAGGAAATGATAATGGTTTTATTGTCTTTTCACTTATTAAAAAAGTTAGTTTTCAAAATTTTAAAAACCAGGGTTAGTTTTCAAATTATGAAATTTTTAGTAATATTAAACCAACTCACCCTTCTTTCTTTTTAATTTCATTTAAATTTCATGTAAAATTCCAATTTACTTTTTATTGGTTAGACTATTCGATACTAAATATATACTCTCTCCATTTCAAATTATTTGTCGTTCTGGAGTTTTGTTTGTTTGTTTTACTTGTCGTTATATAATTTCAATGTACATTTATGATATATTTTTCAATTTTATCTCTATTCTTTTAGTTTATTAACAAGTCATATTAAACAAAACAAAATACTCACTCCGTTTCATAATAAGTGTCGTTTTGACAAAATGAATCTGGACTATGTATATATAGGGATATGTTTTGAGTCTTAATATATCCATATATATCTAGATACATTGGGTAATTTAAGAGTCAAAACGACACTTATTTTGAAACGGATGGGGTATTAAATAGCGATAAAACAATAATTCTAACTAGTTTCTTAATCTCAGAGAAAATCTCCAGAACAACAAGTAAAAAAGTAACGAAGGAAGTATAACAAACAAATACTAAATAAATATCTTTATAATATGCAATTTAGACAAATAAGCAAGATAAATACATGTTCATGCCTTAGTAATTATAAAAAGTTCAATAAATTAGAATTACAAAATTGTGGTAGTAGATAATGGTTTAGTCATCAAGCACCATTTACAATATAGAACATATATAGATAATATGTTCATGATATGAAGCAAATTAAGAACAATATTAGAATGATAGAAGAAGATCAAATATCAATTGTTCAACTCTACCATTACAAGCTATGGTATGGTTCACCAAGAAAAAACACAAAATTTGCAAATGTATATGTGCATTTACGTGAGTAAAACTATATAATTTATGACGGTGGATGTGTTTTTTACGGTGCCACGTGTTAAATTTAGTGTCTTTATATTTATTTATTTTTATGGCGGCAGCCTCTTTTTTAAGGGATATTGCACTCAATAATCATATTGGACAACTGTTGTAAAAAAAAAATAGTCAAATCATATTGGACAACATAATTAAGAGAATAGTCATATCTTTCTCTTGGCTAGAGTACAAGACATATTTTCTGCAATATTACCCTTCAATTAAGAAAAGATGAAAAAGTTTGTGTCGTATAGAAACCGGTGGTCTAAGTAGCCAAGGAACAGAGAAGAGAGGGGGAACTTCAAAATTCAAAGATAATAGGTAAGGGAAACGGCGAGTTTGGTTTTCTTCAACTGCCGTGACGACGGCGTGGAGATTGTTTCTAGGAGAAAATAATGACGTTGATTTAGGGAGTTGTGGACGTTGAACGACAACAAGTTATGGTCGGTTCCAATTTTATTATACAGCTAAATCACCTTAGCAAGGGAAACTGAAGTGAATAACTCGTAGTAGGTATAGGATTTTTTCGCTCAAATGTTGTGTAAATAGTTCGATTTATGGGTATATGAAGTGAAATTAAGATTCAGGTTCGTCTAGAGTTTTCCGATAAGGTAAAGGTGGATTTTTTCGTAAGTGTATCAGAATACGACAGAACAACATGTTTGTTTCTATGTTCTCCTTTATGGACCTTTATGGAATGGAAATTAATGTTAGTTAAGTAGTATAGTACAGCTGTAACATTGAGGGTAAATGGTATAGTTAAATTTAAGATCTAAACAAATATAAATTGTTCCACATTGCTCTACTTAACAGATGCACTCAGCTTCATTAGCTATCGAAAACATAGTTACTTATGGTGAAGTTACTAGAGGTTACTTGAATTTAAAACCAATCATATATAATGAGAGGTATCACTAATTCATTCCATTATCATAAGTGACAAAATAAAGGGATTTTTTTTTTTTTTTGTATATAATTTGTTATCTTAAGTTATTTTTACCCGAATTCAATGGATGTCGGTTCGGGTGGATAAAGGTTTGTTGAATAGGTAAATAAGAAGATTTTTAAACACACAATTTAACTTCTTTTTCTATTTAAAAGAAAATTAATAATTATTATTTATTTCAAAAGTGGCAAATTGGCAACCGGTTCAGTCGTTCTTTCGAAGAGTTTGGGTAACATTGAACTGATACATGGATTCCATGACTGATGCAAGAGCTATATTTATCAGACAAAAGTGGAACCATGACCGGTTTAAACAAAATCTAAGGAAATAATCATGCATGCGACAACAATGGAGCCACACACATAAAGGAGAAATGCATAAACTGAAAAAAACAAGGTAGTTTTAACGAGGACAAAGAATATTACAAACAAATGAGATCATTGCGTGTGACTTCTCCATCCCCAAACTACAAGACAACATAAAAGAGATCAAACAAATTATTTCTTCTTTTTGGATTTCTGCTTTCTCTTTAAAGACTGCTTATATCTTCTCATGTGTAGTCTTGACAAATGTGGCATTTCATGTTCTTGGTCACTCTGTTTAATCAAATGCTAGAGATCAAACTGTGGGATAGTGGAATAGCGTAACACCAGAGAATCACCAGAATAGAAACGGCGAACTGAGATGGCAGCTCCCTAAACCTGCAAATGAATTGTTCCATCACAATGAAAACTTGTTTTCATAGCAAAATCTGGGTGAATCGATTTTGATTGTAATCAATGGCTTCCAAACAACAAAATAGAAATCATGAGAGAAAAATTGAAAAAAATAACATATACAAAATTGAAATTGAAATAACAACAAATTGAAATCAATGGCTTTCAAGCTTTTCAGTAATTACTCCTGAGTACCGAGCATGTACTATCACCAGTCACACCCGGCCCAACAGAAAGTTTTGCACCTTTTTAGCACTCTCTTTGTTATGTTAACATATAGTAAATTATTCAAGGACAACTAATTAATCAGGTACAAATTATATGGTAAGAAAGAGATTAAGATTGTATAGGAGAATTGCTATCTACCAATAAGAAAAAAAAAAATTATTAGCTCAAAACATGTGATGATAAAAGAATCACACCAAATTAATCTAAAGAGATGCAACTGATAGTTCATATAAGGTGATAAGTAATTAAGAGAGCTTTAATATAGGGTTTTCTGCAAATTAACTTTTCAAGTGGTTTTTGTTTGCAAATTTACCTTTGACTCTAGAAAAATGCATATCAACCCATCAAGTTCGAATTAACCCGCAATATAACCCACGTATTTAATAAAAATTATTTAAAAAATATCGTTTAGAAATAACAAAGGAAATTGAAAATCTTATTGGTTTTCATAGCCACGTGTTAGGCTTTGTGTTGGAGACCAAAAAGTTTAGTGTGGTCGAACAACTGAGATAGAACCGAACTAGGTTTTTTCCATCTTCTTTTTTGAATTGAAGAGAATCTCTGACTCCTTTATTTAAGAAATAGAAAAAAATATATTTAATTTCCAATATCCAATGTAGATTAAACACTTGTTTAAGTTAATGAATCATGTATTCACTTTAATTTTGTAATCATATATATAGAATAAATTAACTCAAACATAATACTTTTAATAAACTTGGTCTGTGGATACCAAAAAAACTAGTTTGAATACATGTAATAAACTTGCATGTGAATACAAAAAAAATAATTTAACTTTTTATTTTTAGATACGGGTTATATTGCGAGTTAATTCAAACTTGATGGGTTAATATACATTTTTCTAGAGTCGGGGGTAAATTTGATGTCAACATGGTCCGCGGCCCGCGGGTTAGGCCCGTTTAGGCTTGCTACGGGGCGGGTTCGGGTCGGCATTTTCAAACCCGAAAATTAGCGGGCCTCGCGGTCCAACCCGATTTCGGCTTGCGGTTTAGGCGGATATATCCGCGGCGGTTGGGCGGGTTTTCGGGTCACCGCAAAAAAAAAAAAAAAGCTTTCTCTTCCGAGTCTTCTGACTTCCGAGTTCCAAGTTCTGCATGCAGAGCTTAATGGATCGAGCTTAATGGATGGACGATTTTCACTCCACTGAAGCCATTTTTGTTAGTAAAGGACTGAATGGATGGACGATGGATGGAGCTCTGTTTTCTGCTGCAGCACATCATCGTTTTGTTTCTACTTGCGTCTTTGTTCCTCGTTCGTAATGAATTCCGAAATCAAGGCTTCATTCAGTCCGCTAAGGAGCTCCATCCAACTTCCCAATCGACGATTTTCACTCCACTTGACGATATTCACTTCTTCAATCGACGGAACCAAACCGACGTCTCCACAGAAGACTCCTTCCTCGTCGTACCAAGACCCGACCTTTACAGTGAAATCGTGAACGGTCTTCTCTGCAGCAGCTCTAGCTTGAACGTTGAAATTCCAGGACTTGAAGAGAAACCCATGATTAATCGGAGATTTGAGAGAAAACCCATTACTCAGTCGGCAGCGGTGTAAACAATTGGAGGATCAGAGCTATGGCGATGCAAGCCGGAGTTGGCTTATCCAGGATATTGCTCTTAGCCGGAGCAGGTATGTTACTCGCTCCTGATACGCGTTTAGATAAATGCTACTTCTTTTTGAAATTGGTAGTTGATGAACTTATATCACCAAAATGACACTTTGGTGATGATCCAGGTGGTGTGAATGAAGCTGCAGGCAGCAATCAGGTAAACAGAGAGATATTGAGAATGAATGTGCGTATATAAAGCTTTGAATTAGAGTAAGACGTTAATGGAGTTCTCTGTTTGAATCATTTTCTCAGGCTGGTTAAGCTCTAAATATAAAAGCATGTGTTGATCTTTAGCTACACAATGGAGTCATGGGCTGAAGTAAAGCAACCATCTTTGAATTATTCATGCATTGTATTATATGTTTAAACTATAAAGTGAGTATTTTGATTGATTTTGTTGCAGTTTATACTCAGTTTATTGGAGGAAGTTGTTCAGAAGCCAACTATTTTGATTGGAAACTCTGTTGCAACTTGCAAGCCTCGCTTGTGTCATCGCTGCCTCAGGTCTGATCTTATTATTCCTGTTTTGCTCAAGTGTCAGCTATCAACATACTAAGTATCACTGCTTAATTATTATGGCTGCATCCATATGTCTTTCCCCTTGATATAAACACTGGTACTCCACTCGTACTGTGGTTGCTTATCTGATCTTATTATTCCTGTTTTGCTCATTATATAGTGCAAAGCCAAACACTCTTTAAGATTTAGTACCGAACATTATTATTCTTTCTGCTTCTCACTCTTTGCCATCATCATCTTCTGTCAAAACTTCAAACGGTCTACGAACCATACGAACCATGATGCCATTCTTATAATGACACATTCTTTTTATTTTTTCTCATAGAGGTCCTTGGGGTGCTCTTTCACCGATGCCTGAGATCAATGCCTCTTGCAGGTGATTTAATCACACTCTCCATTAACATTGCATCATTTTGTTGTATTTCTCTCTTGACGAAACAGTTCATTATGTTTGTTTGCTGTAGTTTATGCGAGAATACACAGGAAAAGTCGATGAACTCATAAAGGACAAGATCGAAGCTCAGAAAGAGCAAGATGATAAAGAGGTTATGTGCAACAGGTACTTCTGAAACTTCTTATCAAGCACAAAACAAGATTGCTGCAGCAAAGTAAAAAGATTAAAAATGCTAAAATTATTGTCATCTAACGTTGTCTTGTTTCTGCAGCCTCATTGCTTTATGTTTTCTATATCGTCATGTAAGCTTCTCCACTCTCCATCATGGTAATAAAACTCTTTCGTGTTTCATGATCATTCTCTTATATAACTTAAGATAAAAAAAAAAGAATTTCTTGGAAATTCATTGTCTTTCTTTTAATGTGTCCTGCAGCGAAAGATAAAGGAGACTATGGAGAAGGCTTTGTGGGATAATGTCATGGATACCATGAAACTGAAACTATTGATCAGGAGCTCTCTAACAGGTTTGTCTCAACTTTTATTTGACCAGTTTCTATAGTTTATCTGATCTTAATTTTTATTTTCAGAAACTGAGAACCGTTGATTATTTGAAATTTGGATATATTGTTTAGATTTTATTTTGTAAACCTTTTGCACCAATTAGATGCTCTCAAACGTTAACCCTACTTAGAAAAATAAACCCTATTTTGTAAACCTTTTGCAAATCAAACGCATCTCTCTTTCTCTTGTGAACGGCTGACAAATCGCAAAAGCAGGAAGATGAGCTACGATCCGGTATTGCTTATTCCGCTTTACTGTCTGTTGTTGAATGTTTGTTCCTTAAATTAGATACTCTGTTTCACTAATCCATAGCAGAAAACGTTTGATCTTATAAGTTATAACTACTAGTTGCTTTAATGTTTCTTAATGTAGTAAACCTATAACCGTTTGATCTTATAAGTTATAACTACTAGTTGCTTTAGTGTTCTTAACACTAAAACTGCTTGCTCTACTTGTTTAGTAGCTCCATCTAACAACAGTTGCAGTCTTGCATTTCTATATCTTTTGCTTCTCAAAGACAGTTTTGTATCTTCAGTATATGCTTCTCAAAGACAATCAAAACCAGTAAAGAAACAGAATTTACAATTCTCTGTGGTTTAAATACAACCAAGCTAACATATAGCAGTCATCTTCATCCATATAACAATTGACAACAAAATCCAAAATGGGTATCAAATGAAGCATCTTATATACTCATCTGCACATCTTTTTGGCTCTAGATAGTAACAAAAAGTAAGTGACTAGCTCAAATGAAGCAAACCAAAACTGAAACAGTTAAGCCCGCGGGCTGACCCGCATAACCACCAATACCAAGCGGTGCGGGTTAGGGCCGATCTTTTGGAGACCGCGGCCCGCAGCGGTCCGACCTGCCTGATCCGCCGACAAAGTGAAACCGCGGCAGGTTGGCCCGTTTGGGTGCGGGTTGGCCCGTTTGACATCTCTATTTCTATATTTTACGATTCATATTATCATTCTATATTTTACGATTTATATAAAGATTACAGCCAAGCAATGTCTACTATAACTACATAGCCAAGTATAAAGCAGTACAAACTTATACTAATTGAAGCTTAAACACAAAGAACAAACAAAAAGATTCAGTCTTGGCTTATTTTTACAACAAACATATCAACACCAACAATACCAAATTTACACAAATAGGTCTTGTTATGACAAGTCACAAGACCTCTTCAATAGATACATAGCGGCGCTCTTGAATGGAGAGCTGTGCAGCAACTCCAATGGCAACAGCCATTAATCCGTCTTCCAAATCAACAGCTGCTCGTCTTTCACCTCTGATTGCTGATAAGAATATGAGGTGTTCCAAGTAACTCGATCCGTGATGTAAACCTTCATATCTGAATAACCAAACACCATGTGATTGTGATCGGATGTGAGACTATATAAATACAGTGGAAGAATGCAAGAAGACGATATGTAGATGAAAAGATTTTTACTTTATTCTTTCATCCTCAGCTTTTATCGTCTGAACGTGTTCTCTTCCTTGTGCACGACTTCCAAATCGAACTATGCCCTCTGGAACAAGTGCCTCCCCCTGAAAAGTCAAAAATCCATGAATCCATATATGAACAACTCCAAATAAATGTTTCGAGTAACACTTTTTGCTCGTTTCCTCTGCCTCTATTCTTATTTGGCCTCTATATTCCCTATCACAAGGATCCCATAGAATTTCAAAGGGAGTTTACCTTTCCAATGTCACCAGTAACAGAGATTTCTTGTTCGTTTTTGCTTCCTTCAGCAAACATACAAAGATCAAGCATCCCACGACATCCATTGTCAAACTCGATTATCACATAAGCGTTATCAATTATATCAGGCACCTATGACACAGCGAAACATATCAGTATGAAACTCGGAATATACATTGAATTGGGTAATGATTCGGGTTTTGTAAAATGTACCTTGCCATCATAAACTTCATCCTTGTGGTTCACATCCATGCCTCCAGAAGCCATCACACATAGAGGATTTGCACCAGCAAAGAGCCTCATTAGATCAAAGAAGTGGCAGCATTTCTCCACTAAGGTCCCTCCAGTGTTCACATTGAACCTATTCCAGTTGTTCACCTAGTCATGTGTCCCAATCAGTAATTTATATAAACCGGATGCGTTGAAAACATCTTGTTTGAGCCTACCTTAACCAAGAAAGGGAATCTATGTTCTCGGATTGCTACCATCTTGACATTGCCAAAATCTCTGCTTTTCACTTTCTCAATGAGCTTAGCCACTGGTGGCATGTATCTGTACTCTAACCCAACTTGCACCACCATGTCTGACCTTTTCTTTGCAGTCTCCAGAACCTGTTTGCAGTCTGCAACTGTGGTGCATAAGGGCTTCTCAACAAGAACATGGTGCGGTTTTGGATAATTGATTATGTCAATTAGAATCTGATGATGAGTCATATTTGGAGATGACACCACAATCACATCGCATAGCTCACTCTTGAGCAGCTCTTCGTGTCCCGAGAATACCTTCATCACAGAAACGGAAAAAAATCTCAAATTCTGAATTTACCAATGCCCTAAGTTCCTCCGCAATCGAAGAAATTAAGTATCAGAAGAATTTATCGAGGGTAAATCAAAAGACTGTGAATCAAGTAATCATGCACAATAACCAAAACCACAGCAGATATTTCAATCCTAAGTTTGATTAAGGTTTGTATGATTGTTCCGGGAAAAGAGAAAACCTGGAGCTCCCAATGAAAAGATCGAGCGAGTTCAACGGCGAGGAGCTGTGAGGGAGGGTGAGGATCGGCGATGCAAACGACTGCGAGGCCTTGGTCTCGGAGATGGTGAAGATTGATGAGGTGTTCTCTTCCCATCATACCAACCCCTACGATTCCATACCTTACAATCGCTGACTCCTTCACATCCGCCATTACTGACTCAACTTCTGAGCTCTCTCTCTCTCTCTCTCTCTCTCTCTCTCTCTCTCCCGCTTGGGCTAAACGACGTCGATGGGACCTATCTCAATATCGCATGGTTATCGTTATAATTAAACCGAAATAGCTGAACCAAGACACTAGAGTAAACCAATAGATAAACCGATTTGGTATTTCCTGTAACAGTGAAGATATGAGAATGGAGCGAAGGAGCTTTCCATAGGTAAAAGGTGGTTGCTTTGGAGAAGAAAATAGCGGCGATGATACGAAGAGTCTCCACCAACACGTGTCTATCCGCCACAGCTTTTGGAACATTTAGGAAATCTTGTAAATTTCACGGCGAGTCCCTCGATTCCTCTGTCTCACCCATTCTCATCCCCGGCGTCCACGTCTTCCATTGCCCGGTACTACGTTTAATCAATCGGAAAATATTTCATTCGTTGATATTTTCCCAATGGAATCCAAATCCAATTCTCTCTCTCTCTTTGCAAGTCTAGGATGTGGTTGGGATTGTGGCGAAGCTATCAGATTGCATTGCTGCAAAGGGAGGGAACATTCTTGGTTACGATGTTTTTGTTCCTGAAAACAAGAATGTTTTCTACTCTAGAAGGTAAACCCAATGAACACTATATATCAAGTATCAACTCCAAAAGCTTTTTCTGATTCTGTTGGGTTTGGAATGTAGTTAAAGGTTTCTATTTTTGGTAATTTCTTGGGCAGCGAGTTTATATTTGATCCAGTAAAATGGCCAAGGAGCCAAATGGGTGAAGATTTTCAAACTATTGCACAAAAGTATAGTGCTATGAGCTCTGTTGTACGAGTGCCCTCTTTAGACCCCAAATACAAGATTGCTCTTTTACTCTCCAAACAGGTAAATCATCACAAGAATCCTTTGATGCAGTGTCCTCCTGTTTTTTTCATCTTCTTCTTGGTTGATGTTGTGTGATTGATCCTTCTGTTTTGTAGGATCATTGTCTTGTTGAAATGTTACATAAATGGCAAGACGGAAAACTTCCCGTCGATATATCTTGTGTGATAAGGTTTGCTTGTAACTACTCTTCTCAACTGATTGAAATGGATATGTATGAGTATGACTAACTAATTCTGGGATATTTTTGTGTATCAGTAATCATGAAAGAGCTCCAAACACCCATATTATGCGGTTTCTTCAAAGGCATAACATCTCATATCATTGTTTGTCAACGACCGATCAGAACAAAATAGAAGAGGAGATTTTGGAACTTGTTAAGGATACCGATTTTCTAGTTCTCGCTAGATACATGCAGGTATTTCATATTTTCTTTTATTTAACCAAATGTTGAGGAATCATTATTTTCCTGGATAGTCTCATTCTGATGAATGTGTCTCGTTTTAGTTTGCTTGCGTCTTCTCTGGTTGGTTTAACCCCAAAAAATGAATCTTTCTCCTCAGTTTGAAGGATGACACTGACTGAAACATTTTCATTTGACAGCTTCTGTCCGGTAACTTCTTGAAAAGTTATGGAAAAGATGTAATCAACATCCATCATGGCCTCTTGCCGTCGTTCAAGGGGAGAAATCCTGCGAAACAGGTTTCTGAATTCCTTGATGAGTGAGTAATCAATGACTTGTGTTGATTATATTTAAGTATCTTACTCTCGTTGATTCTGTTGGTAGGCATTTGACGCAGGTGTGAAACTAATTGGTGCAACAACTCACTTTGTTACAGAGGAACTTGATTCAGGTCCTATCATTGAACAAATGGTGACTCATCTCCCCCCAAACTAGTTTATCTATGCTTAAGGTTGCATTTTTGTTCTTCTTCAGCAGCTGTCTCAGGTTTGAGTTTTGCAGGTTGAGAGAGTTTCCCACCGAGACAATTTGAGGAGCTTTGTCCAGAAATCAGAGGACCTCGAGAAAAAGTGCCTCATGAAAGCTATACAATCTTACTGCGAACTGCGAGTATTGCCTTATGGGACACACAAGACTGTCGTATTCTAACATTCCTCATACGCAAGAAAGGTTATACATATTACATACCACTTCTCTATATAAGATGTTTGATTCTTCATAGCTTTATGTTTCGGCTAAGCAACTCAGAAACTGAATCATTGGAAATAGAAGGTTCAAATTTTTTTTTTTGAGATCCATCATTCTCTTTTAATTTCTTTATGTACAGAGCAATGTGATCATTTGAACAACTTGTTGTGTTTTATCCAAAAGTCTTCTTAGGGTTACAGAGACTGAGATTGTACATTGCCAAGGTTTTGCAAATACATCACAACAGCAAAAATGTGGATATATGTTATGTATATAATCAAAATATATACAAGGACTCTCCTGCATCACGTGTGACCAGTGAGACTCAAAGATCCCAGCGAGCATTTGGCAGCCTCGAAGCAATTTACTTGCCGGAGAAGACACTGAACCCCATCAGCCCATCTCTGCTTGTGAACCTTGCTCTTGCACTTGAACTCCAACAGACCTTGTCCGGTTTTCAGACCAAAGTAGACTTCTTCTGAGTTTTCCCTCTCTTTCCTGTAAGGCCAGGCTGATTTCTCATCGCAGACTCCATAGACGACGCCTTCAAATGGGAACAACAAGTTTCAGAATGTCTGTCTTGAAGGTGATTTATCTAAAAAACTGAATATGATTAGGAAATGCTTACATTTGATCTTTTTGGAGAATGCACCTCCAACATGTTTGCTCTTGAGTTTGATAATTACCTGCAAATTCATAATAAGCATATTGGATCCGAAGTGAACTTGAATATGTGTTGTGTGTTTGAGGATGCTAATAAAAGCTGCTGTACCTGAGATTTCTTGTTGATGTAGACACAGACACGCTTAGTTCGCTGCGCTCCTGCAAGTTAAAGCAAAAGGAAGAAGAGTTAAGCTCTCTGTATGATCTCAGTGGATTGATCAGCAAAGTCCCACAGAGAGAAGAGAGTTACCATTTCGAGAGCATTGCATAAGTTCGCCTTCAAGTGGAAGATTTGGTTCTTCCAGTCTAAACTGAGCATTTGCAGGCCAATGAGAGTCAGAGAAGCTTCTCTCAAAAGGTGTAATAGTTGCGTTTTTCCTTGCTTCCTTTGGCTGCCTCGCCTTCAGAGCCGCTTCTCCTCTCAAAGCTAGTTTCAGTTTTTAAATCAGATCATTTGCATTCCAACAAAGCCTAAAACATCTGAACAATATAGACTCACCAGTTGCCGCAGCAGCTGTTAGAGTCATGAGATCACCGGGAGTGTGGATATCCACAGAAGATCTAACCGTGGAAGCAACACGTGCACGGTCAGCACCGGCTCGCTCAGCCATCTCAACACAGTGTGAGGCCAACAACTCGGTGGCTGAGGCTAAAGCCAGTGCCATCTTGGAGTTTGAGCCTTTGCAGTTGCTTACAGAGGTCACAGAGGCTAAACCTGCAGCGAGAGCAGCTATAGAGACTGCAGAATGCACGTGAGCGTTCTCCACACGAGCCTTGTCTTTCTTCTTGAGATATGTTGTGGTGTTGCTGCTGCTGCTGTGATGATCCTTGTGGTGGTGAAACCATTTAGATAAGGGTCCTGATCTCCGTGTTCCGACCGAGTTCATGATCTTACCAGCCTAAAGTCAATAACTCCACAGTTTTAGATTATGAGACCAAGAACAATGTTGGGAACTGGTGACATTGTCATATATATACAAATATAAAAAAGTCTCTGACTTTGAGGCTCTCCATAATTGTGAGAAAAGTGGGTTTGATCGGAAAGGAGATAAAGAAAGGTGTGGTACCACGAGTGGATCTGCGGCAGCATCAGGGAAACAGAGAGGAGGAGTGTTTTGGGGAGCACAAAACTGATCTTGTTGTTGTCTATGTTTGAGTGCAAGTGCTTTGGAGATTTCAGAAGTAGAGAGACTCCAGGATCTAGAAAGGAACTCCATTGGCTCTTTTGGTGTCTGAGGCTGAGGGATCGATGAGAAAAGCTCTTGAGCTCTGAGAACTCCCTCAGAGAACTCTTCCTCCATGTTCTCTGATCCGAAGAAGGAAGAAGAAGAAGTATCTTTCCAATCTGAATAAAACCCACTTTCCATTTTCTCCAATATAATAAATGAGGTCGAAGATGATGAATCTTGATACTGAAAATGGAAAAGATGACGTGGGAGATTCAGAAGAGCGGATTTAATGTCCTGGTGGAGTAAGAGTTTCTGATCAAAACCATGTGACCAAAACAGAGAACCAGCTTTGAGTTTCAGAAATGAACGGTCAACTTTTCAAAAAATATGGGTGAAAATAATAAAAAGGAATAATGAAAAAGATGATGATGTTGACTCAGGTGGAAGAGAAGAGGAAGAGCATAAACCAAACACAATTAGAGAGAAATAGAGAATCTTTTTTCTTTTTTTTTATTTATTTATGAGCGAGAATTATTCAAACCACAAGTTCCCAAAAGTACGTGCGTACTAACAATGATAGATTACAAAATAAAAATCTGAATGAGTGTTTTAGGAGTCTTGAAAGATTTAGGAGAACTCGTCTCCATGTTCTTTCTTATATATGTGCGGAAAGAGAGGATCGGATAGTTATTGTGGTTAAGAACACTGTCCATGAATTGAGGAGATATGTTAATCTGGTGGGACGGTTTGTGAAACCACAAAGAGGCGACAAATGCATTGGTTTGAGTGTTTTTGTTGTCTTTTAAGCGGACGGCTCTCACACGATTCATTCCCCCTAAACCGACCAGCTCCCAGTAAATCATACGTAAAAGAGACCACTTTGGTTTTTTTTTCAGTTGATGTCGTTTGAGTTTGTTTCACGGATTAACAATTTTTCTTGTAATGTCTTCCTGGTTTCTATCAAACGGTTGAGTACCCAAAGCAATTAAACAAATTAAAGGTGTCTCCATCCAATAAGACTAATCATCATGTAGTTTGACTGTACGGATTTCAATGGGCTTTATATGGGCCTTTAAATCATATACCTGAGTTATGGAAAAGTTGGCCCTTCCTACATACATCCACCTAGGCCTACCCGAAACTCGAACCCACCCAGAAAAACCTGAACCGAAACAATTGTAACGGTTTTTCTATTTCTAAATCCGAAACCCGAAAAAACTTTTAAAAACACGAAAAACCCGAACCAAAATTAAAAAAAAAAAAAAAATGCTTCTAGCCTTCTATATCTAAAAATCAGAAAATTTGAAAACCCACCCGAACTCGATCCAAAACCCGGTCCCAAGCCTACATCCACCTTTAGTAATTTGGAATATCTAGATCCTTTTTCGTATTATTATTTTTTCAAACATAGATTTGAAAGATTCCACGAATATATACGGTGTTGGTCGATTCAGTGTTTTGAAACTATGTTTATTTTGTATTTTTGTAACTAATTGGTAACTTTAGTGTGAATCCAACGTTGTATGTTTGATCTGAGCTATTACGAACAGAGTTATTATCTGGACACTCAAAACCTGGTGTATGTTTAGCCATTTTTCAAAAAGACTTTTGGGATTAGCTTATCCACTGATAAATGGTCACATGAAAAGAGATTTTGATAATATACAATTTTTATTATTACCATCGGAATACAACTTGTCCCAACGTTAAATCATTCATCCACGGAAGAAACTGGACCAAATTAAACATTTCACACAACAACGACAACAAAAAAAAAGAAAAATATTGAGGCTTAAGAAGCCAAAACATGCATATTGAGGATCGATCAAGGGTAGCTATCTGTGGTGGGAGCCGGAGTGTAAGATCCGATGAAGACGTCACCGTAGATGACTCCAGCGAGTGCACCACCGACGAGTGGACCCACCCAGTAGATCCATATCTGAGAGAAATCACCGCTGACCACAGCTGGTCCGAATGACCTGGCCGGGTTCATGGAGCCTCCGCTGAATGGACCGGCCGCGAGGATGTTGGCACCAACGATGAAGCCGATAGCGATCGGAGCGATGGTTCCAAGCGATCCTTTCTTGGGATCAGCCGCTGTGGCGTAGACTGTGTACACTAGAGCAAAGGTCACAACAATCTCCATCACTACTCCTTCTACAGCTCCTACACCGGCCGCTACTCCATGAGTCGGTACGCTCTGCATAACCGGGAAAATAAAACAAATTATCGGTTAAAACACAATCAAACTGGATTTTGAGACCGCCATAACATTTTTTAGTCACGGTCGTTTTAACAAAACATCACTATCGGAAATCTGTTCGCATGTTTTTTGTGTACCTCGCCATTGGTAACGAAGACGAGGAGGAGGCAAGCGACGATGGAGCCAAGGCACTGAGCAATCCAGTAGAAGAAACCGGTGATAATCGTGATGTTTCCGCCGACGGCGAGGCCGAGAGTCACGGCGGGGTTAAGGTGTCCGCCGGAGATGTTGGCGGCTATGGAAACCCCGACGAAAAGGGCAAAGGCGTGAGCTATCGCCACAGCGACAAGACCAGCCGGATCCAAGGCTCCACCGGATGTTAGCTTGCCAAAAGCAATAGCAGAGCCAACGCCAGCAAACACAAAGAGAAGAGTTGCGATGAATTCAGACAAATAAGACTTTAGAGATGCGACGCTGAAGGAATCACCCAAACTTCCAATCGCAATCTTCACCATTTTCACAACGAGGTAGCTAAAGAGTTTTTTTTTTTTTTAACTTTGGTTGATGATTACAAGCTCTTTTCTGTGTTTATTGTGGCTTGTGGTGTTTAATGATCGTGTTTATATAGCAAGAATGTAGTGAAGTTGTTGGTCTTACTCTACGTGGCAGGTCGCTATTGGGTGCCGCCCAAACCGCCAATTGTTTAGACTATTCATTTTGTTTTTGAAAGGGTTAGTGACATCGAATAGTTGTGATTAAAGGACACAACTAATAAGGATCATTAAAAAAATGATGGATAAGGTATTTCATAATATGTGAAGATAAGAGTGTTCTGTTGTCAACGTGTCATGTTAATATCCTGCATTTAAATTAATGCCGTCTCACATCAATTATGATAAATGGTCGCATTCCTTTTAGTTTGTTACAAATTTAGTTTATTAGCATGGGAGGTGCTATTAGCCTAAAAAATTAGTAGGGATTAGGAGTTTAAAATTAATACAACCGTTGCTTTGTTTGGAGTTGGTGTGTTAGAGGCATAAGATAGAATTACAACAAAAAACATTTATGTTGTCTATTGAGATGAAAGATTTAAGATTTTTAGAAAAGTTCTCCACGATGATGGTGACATAAATTAAAATTTGCAAAGCGGAAGGTTGTTCTAGTTACTTTCTCCGGCCCACTATTAAAGCAATAGTTTTCTATTCTAGACTTCTAGTACTATATGGTTTTGAATGTATATTTTTGTTATTATGAAATTGCAATATAGCAACGAAATGGAATGCTCTTTCCTAGACTAAACCGATGCCTGACAGATGTTTTTCCACCCACTACCACTTAAACTAATACACTTTTGGAATGACGCTAGCTGGTTTGAGCCGAGTACAAATATTTGGGCTGGAGCCCATATAAATAACCACTGGATTTCATTTTAAATGAAGTTATGAGATGATTCTGATGGTCCAAAACTATTTTGCAAGATAAATCCATTTTGTGTAGCCAATCATCTTCCACAAATCCAAAAGTCGTTCTCGACCCAAAAAGAGAAAATAAAAAGCCAGAAGTCGTTTCAACATTTACCTCTCGGTCGTCGTCGTCGTCAAACGAATTGTTTCTCTTTCACCCCTCGGTCAATAAATTTTGTATTTTCATTTAACCAAACTTTTCTACCCAATGACTTTTATCGTCCGCTAAAAAAAGTAAAAAACCTCTCGTGCCTTCTGGTCAAGTTCAATATTAGCCACAGGATCCACGAAACACGACACGCGTCGCTCAGGATTTAGCCGCATCAGCATCCATCTTTTCATTTTCTTCCCAAATGTATTTTATTATTGGCGTTTATTTTTAATTTAATCTGGGCTTTACTTAAACCAGACTTTACACTTGCCGAGAAAAAGCGAATAAAATTCATCGCTCGTCTTCTCTCAATCTGCTTCACTCCCCAAACCTCGTTTCTTCGCCGGAACCCTAGGTCGACTCTTTCATTTTGAAATTTCCGGTGAGTTTAACTTCTTCACAAGCGTTTCAATTTCAATTTCAATTTCAACTGGGTTCGCTCAGTTAGGTTTTCGTGACGCAACGGCTCCCTTGGATGTGAGAGGGAAGATATTGAAGCGTTTGCTGTTGATTTGGTAGAGCAGTAGATGAACGAACGTGCGATTAGGGAACAGTTAAAGGTCTGACGGCCAGGTTTTTGTCACCGAATGGAGGGAGGTAGCGTCTCGATACACTCTTGTTTCGGTACTTTTCGTTTCCTACTGTGCATCAAGTGACCAAAGTTTTCTTCTTTTCTTCTGCGAATGCTTTTGTAATTTGATTTACGCATCCTCATATATGTATGCTTCTTCTTCTTCTTCCTTTTTGAACCTGTTTCAGGAATAAACCCATGGATTATGATGACAATGACTTTCAAAACCAGAATCTCCAATTAGCTGGTGAAGCTAATAGTAAATTTCCCCCAGTATTACAGCCTTATGCTCTTCCAAAGTTTGATTTTGATGATACCCTCAACACGCATCTGAGGTTTGATAGTTTGGCTGAAACTGAGGATTTTCTTGGTATCGAGGGTAACGAAGGTAGTAACTGGATTGAGGATTTCTCGCGTGGAAGTAGTGGTATAGTGTTTAGCTCAGCTGCTACTGAGTCCTGTGCCATTTCTAGGCACACTAATGTTTGGTCTGAGGCTACTTCCTCGGAATCCGTTGAAATGCTTTTGAATTCTGTTGGACAGGACGAAGTAATTGTTAGAGAAGATACTATCAAGAAATTTGGCACTTCGGATGAACTAGGTGACACAATGGAAGAAATGGAGCTTGGTCAGACAAACGATGAGATGAATCTTTCGAAAGAGGAAATAGCGAACGTACAACCCAACGACCCATCCGTGGATGATACTCCAGGAGACTCCTCTGTTTTAAAGACAGATGCTCTGGTGAAAGATGACTCACCAACCTTTGCGGAAGAGTCATCTATGGAGGAAAAGAATCCCATCTTGGATTCAAATACGGCGACTGTAGAGGCTGTGGATACTACTAGTCATGATAAGATAGGGACTGAAACGGCTGATAGTCTTCTTGACCAAGCCGTTGCAGAAGAGCCATCCATGGAGGAAAATAATGCCATTTTGGCTTCAGATACCGCGACTGTAGAGGCTGTGGATACTGTTGGTCATGATAAGACAGGAATTGAGACGACATATAGTCTTCTTGACCAAGCCGTTGCGGAAGAGTCACCCATGGAGGAAAAGAATGTCATTTTGGCTTCAAATACCGTGACTGCAGAGGCTGTGGATACTGCTGGTGATGATAAGATAGGGACTGAAACGACTGATAGTCATCTTGAGCAAACGTTTGCGGATCAGTCATCTGTGGAGGAAAAGAATGCCATTTTGGCTCCAGGAAGCGCGCCTGTAGAGGCTGTGGATAATGTTGGTCATGATAAAATAGGAATTGAGACGACAGATAATCTTCTTGACCAAACAGAAGACGAAGCCAACGCAGAATCAAGGATGGAAATTGATTGTAGCGACGGAACTGTACAGACTGTGGTTACTTGTAGTGAAGTGAGTGAAGAGAAGACTTTGCTTCTAGAGATTTCTCATGATGAAAATGATACCAGCAGTAGTCATTCCCGCGGTGATCTAATTATAGATGCACCGTCAGTTTTTGTTGAGGCTCATTCTGACGGCCATATAGACTCAGCTTCCGAAGTTGAAAATGTGGAAGCTAAAACTTTTGGCGAAACTGCAAAGCCTGATTTCAAGTCAATGGAGCTATCTGATGTCACATTACTAGAAAGAGGGGACCAAGCTCTCTCTACTCTTGAGGTAGGTGGACAAGACGTTTCAGGGACCCAATGCCAAGATATTCTTGTCAGCAGTGCTCATACCAGCGTAAATGTTGAAGCATCTTTGGAAATTGCTGTCGAATCAACAACTCTAACAAGCAGTGTTTCCATGGCGAAGCCTGAGTCGCTTAGTCATCAACACATGGAAGTTACTACAAGTGAACAAGAGTCTACTTTTCAGACTGAGACACATACACATATACATCTAGTTGAAACTTCAAAAAGTGTTTATGTTTCACAAATGGACTCAAAGGTTGAATCCTTAGAAGGTGGTACTTGCGAGAAGAATGATAGCAATCAAAGTAATGCTCGGATTTCGAATCTCAATCAAAGCATTGAATTGGCTGTCGGTGCCAATGATAGAGATCAGGCCGTCAAGAGCTCTCAGATACTATCTGAAAGTGTTGTGTCTGAGTCTGTTGGTCATATTTCAGGAGGCTCTTCTTCCAACCTGGCGGAGTCAAAAGACTCTATTCCAACGGACAAGTCAGGTAATGATATTGTCTACTCGTTTTGATATACTCTGTTTTCATACTACGTATTTTTCTTTTGGCCTTCTCGTTCTCTCAGAACCTTTTGTTCTGTTATTTTTTTGTATTTTTGTTTTTTTTGGGGTTACATACTGTCATTTGCTGCAAATGATATATCATGATTACTTGTTTAAACCCCCTTAAATGTGTATGAATATAAGTTTTTTCTTCCACAGGTATGATTGACGGGAAAGAATGTGAGGCATTTCCCCTCAGTCCCGAAGAGCTACAACATCCAAGCCAAGATGGAGCACCTGCTGTCAGTCTCACATCATTAATTGATTTACATATGGTGAAGCCATCCTCTGATGCGAATGAGCAAGGCAGTTTGTCTGAAAAGGTTTCATCTAGTGAACCTGAAATTGGTCAAACCGTTCCACCAGTGGATGCAAGCTGTTCAGGGAGTCAGATGAACCAACAAGCTAGGAACCATACCGAAGATTCTGAGAAAAGTACACAATTTGTCGAAGGCTCTTCTGCCTCTGAAGGCTCAAAGGATGACGCTGGACAAGATTTGCTAAAGCAGCCTGAGGAAACAATTTTAGAAGAAAATCGAGTACCGGAAGTTGTAAACGCTCCTGGTAATGTTTTATATTTTCGGCCATAGTATTTGCACGATGCTTGCTGTCTTTATTGTCATTCCATGAAGACATTACCATCTTAGTTTACCTTTTGATGGGTTAATTTATATTGTAGTTATTTTTGTCTTTGCTTCTTCCTCCTCAGAGACTCTGTCAATTTTGGAAAAGGATGACATAAATGATGAGCCTAATACTAGCTCCTTGGCTAATCTTGGGAGTGAGGCTGGAAGAGATGGCCGGGAAGAGGATAATACTGCTGCATCCGGTGGGATTATGACAGCTGGGACTTCTGTTTCACACCTGAAAGGTGAGTCTGTATGATCTTCGTAGCAGTAAGAACTTCTTGTTCTTGCAGTTTCTTCTGATTCTTTAAAATGGTTTATTAAGGAGATATATATGAAGTGCACAAATACTGTGAATACTCAAACAGAGTCTTACAATGCGTGTGCTAGTCGTCTATATAATTAAAATGGTTCTTTCTTCAAGAATACGGTTACTGGAAATTCCTGACTACGTTTTACAGGTCTTGATTTTCGAACAAACAATGCATTTCTTTTTCTAGATTCATGCAATATATTTTATGTACTCATCGTAAATATGTACCTGTCAGGTGATGCAATCGCAATAGGAGATGCCCGTGCTTCTACATGTTCTGAGCCTTCTGTAAAGTCCCATGTGAATGAAATAGAAATCGCTGCTACTGATCTGGGGACTCCTGTTGATTCTTTCTCCACTGCGACAAACAGTGTCAAAAAGCCAGAAGATCAGAATATTTCGAGTTTTATGTTTGCCAGATCTCCGGTTTTGAATAGAAATGAGACCTTCAGCAGTGGGATGAACTTAACTTCCGATCCGCCGAAAGTAGAGGAAATTTCCAAAGCAGTTAACTTTCCACAAGCTACCCTTGTCTCTCCGGTACCTCCAATTTATATCTCAACATATTTTCATATGTAGTTAAGACAAATTCTGTGGCATGTTTATTTTCTTCCTTACATGTCATATGTTTGTTTTATTATTTAGATACTGGTGGGCTCTCCATCAACATCCAACGTAGAGAAAACAGCTGCAAAGTCTTCCAAAACAAAATCCGAGCGCAAACCCAGGCAAACATCTAAATCTGCAGGAAAAGAGACATCTAGAAAAAGAAGTGTAAAAGGGGCTACTACACCTTTGCAAAGTGGAGGCAAGACAAATGCTGTTAATCAAAATCCTGCTTGCTCTATTCAGATTACTCAATCTACTGAGAAGCAGCAAAGTCTTCAAACCCCTGCTCTAAAAGCTTTTGGAACCCTTTCAACTCCCACAGCAAGTCTACCGGATCTGAATTCTTCTGCTCTCTCAAGTATTTTGCGTCGACCTTTCACAGACTTGCAACAAGTGCAACTGCGTGCACAGATTTTTGTCTATGGGGCTCTGATGTAAGTTCTTTGCTAGCCTTTACATGTTCTTAAGTTTTGTTAAGTCAGTGAGACTCGAGAACTATCTCATTCAGAGTTCTTGCACTTCTTACTGTATTCAGAAGTTTGATTGTTATTTTTTTTCTCCTTTACAGCCAAGGAACAGCTCCCGATGAAGCTTATATGATATCTGCATTTGGTGGTCCAGGTAAAATTGTTATTCCTTCACCTATTGTGTTATCCACGGTTGAGAAAAAGTGTGTTCATCCTACACTTCTGTAGATGGTGGGAAAGGCAGTTGGGATAAAGCATGGCGTGCTTGTGCTGTAAGGGCTCAGAAATTGCATGTTGCTACTCCTGGGACACCATTGCAATCACGTGCAGGTTTCTAGTTTGATTTATTCTGCATTTCAAGCTCTTACTGTCTGCTTAGTTTCTTAACTCAGCTCTGCTGCTGTGTGTATTCATGATCTAAATACCAAAACTGCATTTCCAGGGAAGTCAGAGACTCCGTCAGTGGGCCACACCAGTAGCAAAGAGAGCTCAGCGACAAAATCCATGATTCCACTTTCCTCACCTTTATGGAGTTTATCAACTTCCCTTGATACTTCACAATCAAGTAGCGTTCAAAGAGGCTCAGCTGCTCTTCACCAGCCATTGCATTCTTCAACACATGCTCACCAAACTCCACCAGGTACTAATATTGTCGGACATAATACCCCTTGGATGTCGCCTCTCCCTTACCGCACCCCTTGGCTTGCTTCTCCGCAAACCAGTGGATTTGATGTTGGTTCTCGTTTCCCCGCTTTTCCAATCACCGAACCTGTAAAATCGACTCCCGTGAAAGAATCGTCCTTGCCTTACTCTGGCGTAAAGCCTGTTCAGAGTGGAACTTCTAGCAATGTTTTCAAAGGTACACCAACACTTGAGCCAACGAGTACAGTAGTAGCACCTGCTCAACATTCCACTGGGCCAACATCAAGGAAACGGAAGAAGATGCCAGTCTCTGTGGAGTCGGGTCCAAGCATTTTGAATTCACTAAATCAGACAGAATTAGTTGTCTCACCTCTTGTTTCTATATCAACATCTGCGCCTATTACAACTGCTCCGCCTAATCTAGCTTCTAATGCTGGCACCGTACCCAATGTTGTTTCCTTCACTGCAGTCCCTATGAACCTGGCATCTGCGTTCCCTGGGAAGAGAATTAAATCATCTTTGCCATCTCCAATTTTTTGTGGTAATCTTGTACCTGAAGTTAAGCAGAGATCTGTCTTCTCAGAGGATACAATTGATAAACTTAAGGAGGCCAAGATGCATGCAGAGGATGCATCTGCTCTTGCTACTGTGGCTGTTAGTCACAGCGAATACGTATGGAAGCAGATAGACCAACAAAGGCATGCTGGTCTCCAGCCCGACACTCAAGGTATATTAGCTTCGGCTGCTGTTGCTGTAGCTGCTGCTGCTGCGGTGGCTAAGGCTGCAGCTGCTGCTGCTAATGTTGCAGCTAATGCTGCATTGCAAGCTAAAATGATGGCTGAAGAAGCATCCCTTCCAAGTGCTTCTGATCAGGGTAATGAACTCCCCAAGTGGAATGATAATATTATTCCAGGCCAGGGTACCCCTGCTTCTATGTTGAAGGGTGAAGGTACAGGGATGAGCTCCAATTCGGTTCTTATTGCTGCGAGAGAGGCGTCTAAGAAGAGGGTTGAAGCTGCCACAGCGGCCACTAAGCGAGCTGAAAATATGGATTCCATTGTAAAAGCAGCAGAACTGGCATCAGAGGCGGTTTCACAAGCTGGAATACTCGTTTCAATGGGTCAGCCTCCGTTGCTCAATAAGCTCGTGGAGGCTGGGCCTAGTAATTTCTGGAAGCAGGCTCAAGAATCTCAGGAAGTGCAGCCCTGTAAAAACGGTGGGTTAGAAAAAGAAAATGTGGCTACTAGTGATGGAACTTTTGCTAGTCCCAGAACTGTGCAGACCGAGTTGGGTGGTTCTGTGAGAATGGCAGATGGTGTATCTGGTCCAGTTTCTGCCACTGGAGTGAAAACAAAGGGACAAAAGGGTCATAGAGATGCAGACTTGGCTAAAAACAATGCTTTAGTTTTTGGATCAGAAGTTGGGTCGAAATCTTCGATTGACACACAAAATGAAAGTGAGCAGATTAAGAAATCAACAAACGATGAGGACATCAAGGAGGGTTCTCATGTAGAGGTTTGTTGTAAAGTTGCATATATACCCTCTCTATAACTAACTGGTCGTGTTCCTTCTGTAATGGAGATAGAATGTCCTATGCAGGTTTTCAAGGAAGGACCTGGATTAAGAACTGCATGGTACTCTGCCAATGTATTGAGCTTAGAGGATGATAAAGCTTACGTGTTGTTCAGTGACCTTACTGTAGAACAAGGTTTGTTTATTTACCACATGGATTTCTATACAACGCAAATTGCTTGGCAACCCGAAGATACATTTAAACCTTATCTGTCATCAACAAATCTTTTACTTCACAAATTGCTCCAAGTGTATAAGATAATGTGTAATCCTTGTAATCATCCGCTTTCTGTTATCATGATATCATATCATATGCATGTGCATTTTCTTGAAAGGATGCATGACTAATTATCAAAGCTCCGAAGAAAAGGTTCCATTGCTTTATTAGTTGAGCCTTTTATTTGATCTGTTATCAGGAACAGATAAGCTGAAGGAGTGGGTAGTCCTCAAAGGTGAAGGTGATGAGGCCCCTAAAATAAGAACTGCTCGTTCTGTTACTGCCATGCCATATGAAGGAACCCGGAAGAGACGTAGAGCAGCCATTGGGGATCCTGTTTGGAAAATTGGTGAGAGGGTAGACTCGTGGGTGGATGACAGGTATTCACTTTCTATTACCTGCTGTTTTAATGCTTTCCCTGAACAGTCATCAGCCCAAAACACGAATCTGTAAATTGTGTTCAATTTTCTGTTTTATGAAATCCTTATTCATTCCACAAACATTGGAAGCGTGATCTATATATATATATATATTTTTTTTTTTGCTTCTTTCAGTTGGTTGGAGGGTGTTATCACGGAGAAGAACAAGAAAGATGAAAATACAGTGACTGTTCATTTTCCTGGTGGGTAAAGATGCCAATGTGCCTAATGATGATATCTCATTTTTGTGCTCAAAACTTCCTCTTAATTATTTTTTGGTTCTGCAGCACAAGGAGACACTTTGACGATCAAAGCTTGGAATCTTCGTCCTTCTCTTGTGTGGAAAGATGGAAAGTGGATTGAATGTTCTAGTACAGGAGAAAACGCTAGCTCGTCACATGAGGTACTATCACCCTTTTGGTGGATCTCTAGAGGATTCTCCTTTGGATGCTTTGGCTATTTTGTAAAACTCAAGAATTTGAATTGCAGGGTGATACGCCAAAGGAGAAGCGTCCTAGATTAGGAACTTTCACACCTGTGGCTGAAGGAAAAGACACGACGAGTATGAAGATGGTTGATGATCGAGACGTGGGGAAACCAGCTCAGACTGGTCTCCTTGACTTCAGTATTTCAGAGAACACATTTAACATTGGAAGGAGTACCAAAGAGGAGGACAAACCCGATCCACTCCGAATGAAGAGAACCGGTTTGCAAAAGCAGGGATCAAAAGTGATTTATGGTGTCCCTAAACCTGGAAAGAAAAGGAAGTTCATGGACGTAAGCAAACACTATGTTTCAGAGGCGAGCACTAAAACTCAACGGAAGGAACCAGCCAAGCCTGTAAAATCGGTTGTGCCCCAAAGTTCAGCTACAGGGAGCTGGAGAATGCCTTCTAAGACGATTTCCAGAGAGAAACAGACAACAATACCGAAGCCCAGGAGTTTTAAACCACCGCTCAAGACCAAAGAGAAACAAGGTCCTGCAGCTAGGATAGCTCCCCGCAAGGACTTGCGTAATACAACAGCCTCAAATATGGAATCCGATGATGAGAGTGTAGAGAACAAGGCTCCTGCGTCTGGACTTCCATCAAAGGGAGCAGTGGAGGAGCAAACCCCATCATCCTCGCAAGATAATAAAGAGCAAGCCGCCCCTGCTGCACGGAGGTTACCCAAGATCGAAGAGGGTAAGGCCTTGGCTGAGAGTTCTTCAAAACAATCAGAAGGAATGGAGCCAAGGAGATCTGTCCGCAGGATTCAGCCAACTTCTAGAGTAAGTATATATGAGTTATGTGGAAATTGCATTATTTCCCTGGTTTCTTGTGGTCAGGCCAAGGATTAACAGACCTGATTTCTATTTTTAACCTGTGTGTATGTGTGTTGCTGCTCTACAGCTACTTGAAGGTCTACAAACGTCGATGATGACCTCGAAGATTCCTTCCATGTCACACAACAAAAGTCACCCAAGTCAAAGCAAAAAGTAAATGTAGAGGTAATGTTATTACATTCATTAGTGTCCAAATAGCAATAGTGAAATTACGTAGACACAAAAACCATAGGCATCTGACAGAGTTGATTGTTGTTGTTGACAGGCAAGTGAAGGAATTGCACATAAGACCATATAAATGGAGGAAACAAAAAGAGGCAGTCTCAGCTGCTGTTAGGTTGTTTTTAATTATAAGATCATGCTCGACGTATAAAAACACTTTACTTTTCTTGGTTGGGGAGAGAGATGATACGTTATTGTAGGTGTGCTTTTGGTTAAATTATTTAGTCAGATGTTTCTTTCTCTCTCTTTCACTTGGTGTGTCTCAGAGAGATACGGAAGAAGTTGTATATTTGTCACATTTTTTAGGAAACCAACACTTTTATTGCCATTTTTATCATCTCCTTAACACCATTTCTTCTCATTTGGATTTTCTTTGTCAAAGCTCTGCAAGAATTGCGCTAATGAGCCCAAACACTATTGCGAAGCCCATAAGCCCAATCACTATTAACACGAGAGAGAGAGAGAGAGATTTGTTTGACTGTAAAACCTAATAATTTCTCATAAATATTTGCTTCATTTCGATCTTCTCGTCGTGTTTTCGTCTTCTCCGATGACGACTTGTGGATGTCGTAAGCTGTTTAGCAGAGCTTCCGTCTCTTCCCTCAGATCCGCCCTCAAATCCTCAGGGCTCAAGTCACCCACCGGAACTGGATCAACCGGATTTCGACTTCCTTCTCAACCGTCTCGCCAATTCTCATTCTCCAGGTTTTAAATCTGTGAATCCGTAGCCCAATTTTGATATTCTTTGTTCTCTGAAATGCTAATAAGGTCTCAACCTAATGAAGGTGTCCATCTGAGCTGGGAGGTGTTCAGTCGCTGTTACCGCTGCACAGCACGGTGGCGGCGGCGCGGCTGACGTCTTGCCTAAGCACAAGTTCAAGGAACAGCCGAGCTCTCTCTCAGGGTACACTCTGCTGCACCTCTCCCGACCTCTAAATGCTTTTCTCTTTACTTTGCTTGTGAGTCAACCTTTTTTTTTTTTTTTTTGCTTTTCCTCTCATGCACTGTTGCTGTTTGATTCATTGCTTCTTCTTAGTTCCGTTGAATCTTGCTTTATGACACATTTCTGGCTTGAGACAATGTTAAGTGCAAGGTAGACTACTCCTAACATGGCTCTATGCTAATGCTATAAGATTATATCTTTGGGGTTTTAACAAGTATAAGAGAAGTTACATAGGCTGAGTGATAGAGTTTCTGGAGGTCTGTTGGAGTTTTGAGGTTTAGTGTCTAACCATGAGTACTTGGTTCATGCAGGCACATGATTTCACCATTACCATGTGGACCCTTGCATCTTTATCAAGTATGGCCCTGTTAATGTTAGTGAAAACGTCTAGTTGGGGGTATAACAATTTAAAACATGCACAACTTGAATTGGAAAATGGGTCTGTCGTTTGTATTTCCTGTGAATTGCAAGATTCTGCATGTTATTTTCGTGACTCAATGAATAAGTGTGTCACAGTATCGTAGTAATCTGAAAAATGCTCTTTGTCCAGATGGAGTCGATGGCACGTGAGATGTGTTTGCTGTTTCTTAAAGGTGTGTTCTGTAGACAATGATCCCTGTAAAGCTAGTTTTGGGAGAAGCAATCTTAGATGAGATTCTATATATAGTCTAAAGTAGCATTGGTTTGTCAATCTACTGGTGTTTTTATGATTGTTGGAACGTTTGCTAAATTTTCAACAGTGGTACCATTAAGCTATTAGTATCCATCTTTGGTTCCTTACCACAGTCAGTGCCCTAATCTAATCTTAGTCATCTTTTATGCTTGGTTGATGTAGAGCTTGGACTTTCAGTTCCGAGGTGAGTTTGATGCGGTCATGAAGAGATTTTATTCATTGGAAGGTGCAGAGCTTCTCCAAGACTTGTAGTATTTTTTTCGTCAAACTTAGAAACGACAAGTTTATGTCATTCTTTTTGTGACAAATAAACCACGGATTACAATCTCATGTACTTCGATTTATGATGAAAGCAATTACAATTTTTATTAATCCCTTATGCAAGTAAGAACATCACATACCATGAGGCCAAATCAGGCTAAGAAAATATGAAATTTAAAAGTACAAATCGTTCACAATGATCTTTCTTTTCAGTTTTCCTGTTTGTCGATGATTTCAAAATACTCATGGCACAAAAGAGTATACAAGAATATGAAGAGAAAATTGGTAAGGAATGTTGGATAAGACGAGTGATCAAAACTCGGCAGAGCCAGGTGAGCGCGGGAAAGGAATAACGTCTCTGATATTATCAATTCCAGTGGCAAACTGGACCAGCCTCTCAAACCCTAGCCCGAATCCAGCGTGAGGAACTGCATAGACACAATGAACATTAGCTTCCAAGTTCTTCTTCTCCTACCTTTTGATTCTCTTTCTTAAACCATTCAAAGAAGAACTCAGGAGGAGAAAGAGAGACCTGAACCATAGCGGCGGAGGTCGAGGTACCACCAGTAGCTCTCTTTGTCGAGTTTCAACTCATCAAGCCTCGCTTCCAATACCTCAAGCCTTTCCTCTCTTTGGCTTCCACCTATCAGCTCTCCTATCTTTACTTACCCAAACCCAAACAACATCCTTCATCATTAACTCATTATCAACGTCTTCTTTTTTTGTTTCATGCATCTTAATAATCTTACCCGAGGCACGAGCATATCCATTGCTGCCACTGTCTTGCCATCATCATTCTCCCGCATATAGAACGCTTTTATCTCCTTTGGATAGTCTCTTATTATCACTGGGCGACCCCCAAATGCCTCTTCTGTTATGTACCTTTCATGCTCGCTCTGCAAATCTAGCCCCCACTTCACCTACAAATTCCACATCTCTCATGATGAATATATAACCAATTATTTATTTTCATAGAAAACACTAGCTCAGAAGCACAAACCAGTACAACTTCGCGTTATAGAAGGACAAAGTAAAGAGCATTTACCGGGAAATCAAATTTTTTGTTTGCTTTCAGAAGAAGTTCAATGGCGTCACTGTAACCCAGCTGTAGAAAATCTTTCTCAACTACGTCCTTTACAAATAAGATTGAAAACCAAAGATTATGTCAGCCAGTGCAAAACTACATGATATTCTTTCCTGAGAATCAGAGGGTATACACTCAAGCGCTGAATGATTCCTTTCTCAATCCATGTATCAAAGAACTCCATGTCTTCCTTACAATGATCAAGAACGTATTTTACCTATCAGAAGATGAATTACAAATCAAAATGACGTTACACAAATGACGAGCTCATATATATGTTTGAAGGAAATATAAAAGTGAAAGAGCAACATACGACATACTGGAGGTAGGCGGTGGCACAGGCCATGTCCTCATCCAGGTCGGCAAAAGCAAGTTCTGGTTCAATCATCTTATATGGTAAAAAGAGAGGTCTTCAGAAAAATGCACCAAGTTACGAAAAAATCAATTGTTGTGAGTTTGGCTGGAGATTCAAGTAATGCTGACCCAGAATTCGGCTAAGTGCCTGGAAGTGTTGGAATTCTCCGCTCGAAATGTAGGACCAAACGTGTATACCTGTTATGCCACACAGCTGAGAAATTCAGTCACTTACTATCCAAAATCTAGCTCAAGATCACTCGAGGAAGTAAACTCTTACATCTGAGAGAGCGGTCGCATAGGTTTCTCCATTGAGTTGCCCAGAGACGGTCAAGAATGCAGGTTTCCCAAAGAAGTCCTGAGGAGTGATACAGCCATGAGATTTGTTATGGTTGCAAGTTCATAATTCTCACCATTCAAAGACATGGAGCTGTAACCCACCTGTGACCAATCAATCAACCCTCCCTTTGTTTTCGGAATTGCATCAATGGAAGAATCGGTGGTCTCATGGGAGCTGGGAATCTAAGAAATAAAGTATAGTTTAGCTGTAATGGGCTATTACAGAATATTGTGATGCTGAGAGCTAAGGTCCTTACGAGTGTAGTGACACAGAACTGTTCTCCGGCACCTTCACAGTCCGACGCTGTGATAATTGGGCTTGCTACCCAGACAAATCCACTTTCCTGAAAGAACTTGTGTGTAGCATATGCCAGAGTATTCCTAACTCTTGCCACCTGAAACAAGATGTTATGAATGTTTAACAACACATAACTTAACTAGATACTTTCACATAAGTTCACCATCAATTTTCAACAGAGAAGAGAAGCCTGAAAAGATGGAATAAATGCAAAAAACAGTCATAAAAGTACTAGACAGAGAGCCATGTCTCTGTTTGTGAGATAATACATCAAAATTACCAAGAAGGGAGTAAGAGTTGTCTGCAGGTATGGATGGTCCAGTTAAAAAGTAGATACAAAAGGAAAGTTGCAGGCAATATCTCCTAAGAACGAAACATTACCGCCCCAAAGGTATTGGTTCTTGGACGTAGATGAGCCTTGGTTCTCAAGAACTCCCGGCTGACCCTCTTTTTCTGGATGGGATACGAAGAGTCACACTTGCCAACCTAAGATTATGTGACAAAACTCAGATAAACGTCCTACTTTCAATCTCAAGGGTCAAAAGTAGAAGAAGCAAAGACGTACCACGATGATTTTCTCAACCTTAAGCTCTACCTTCTGCTTTGTTCCCTGGCTGGCCACAAGAGTACCTTGTACAGATATGGATGCTCCAGTCAAGATCGAACCAGATTCTACCTATTACACCGATTTGGCCAAAAAAAAAAAATTATCATTTAGAGGCATCCAAGTGATAAGCAAATGAAATGGCTTTCTTGAGTAGGTCAAACGTCGATTACCTGATCATATCCCGCTGCGTCTGAATTCATCACACATTGCAAGTTTGATAGGCAAGAACCATCATTTATCTTCAGTCAAACAAACAAACCACAATTCTGTGAGCAATCAATATGGTAAAGCAAACGAGGAATTACGAAAGAGACTGAGTTGGAAATTACCTCGACAAATGTGACACTGCTTTGAGATCGAAGAGTCCGAACCCAACCCATAATGCTGAGACTCTCCCCGACGCGACCCAGACCTTCGTCTGCTCCTCCTTTCACTTCCGCTATCCTCAACTTCCTCCTGAATTCTCCAACTTTACTTCCAAATCGCTTCTCGTAATTCTCCACTCTCTTTCCCTCTCCGGAACCCAGAGACTCAGAAACGGCGCTGCAAAAGCATCTCCGGCGAGCATTGGCCGGATAAGCTTCCAAAAGCGGGAGAACCCGGCGGCGTAGTGGGCGGAATAGAGAATAAGGAGTAGAAATGGGGAGGTAGGATAAGAATCGGAGAGTAGAGAATGGAGTCAGGCGGAGAGAGGTCGCCGGCAGAAACGCGGCCGCCATAGTTCACTGTGCGCAAGTTTGGGGAATTGGAATTGATTGCTCTCGACATTTATTTGGAATATTTACCCGACCCGATTTGATATATAACCCGACCCGCGAACCTCCGGCAAAATGAACATCCACCAGCACCTTCGAAACCTGCTCAAAACCGTTGAACCGGTCCAATTCAGAACCGGCCGATTTCCGGTTTACAAAAATTTCACGGCAGGGATATGTTTTAACGAAATAGAAAAGGCGAGTGTGAATGTAACCAAACATTTCGTCTCTGAATGAGTCTAACCTGAGACAAATCAAAGCTCTGAATGTAACCAAACAGTTGGTTTCTGAATGAGTCTACAATAACATTAAATTCACTTTCACAACAACCTCCTTATATTTATCAACGTCAAGACACCAACACTCACTCACTCTCTCTCTCTCACTATCTTCCCATGCATTTATATAAATAACACAAGACGGAGAAGCAGAGAAAGAAAACAGAACAAGATCCATCCATCAAAGAAAGCCATGGGGTGCGACGGCCAAGGCAATCTCAGCGACCAAGACTTCAGCAAGCCGTTGCCTTGGATAGGTGTCTACGTAGCTGCAGCTTCACTTATCTGCGGAGTTGCCATGTTCTCCGATCTTCTCCACGGCTTCCGCCACCGCAAGTTCTGGTTTCCCTGCAAGTTCTTCTCTCTCAACGCCACCACTCTCACCTTCATCACCATCTGCGTCAAACTCTCCGTGGATCTCAACACCTGCATGCCTAGTCGCCAGGATCAGCTCGCTAAACTCAGCAGCAGCGTCTTAGTCTGCACCGTCATGGCTAACTCCATGCCTTCTCTTGGTGTCATGGTCAACCAAGACCTCCTCATGAACCTCATGGCTTTAGGGATTCTTGTCATCACCGACCTCGTCAACATCTGTATCCAACTGGGTACAGGTGCCATCTACGTTTTCCCTCAAGAACACGCTCTCGTCATCGTTCTAACGCTTCTCATGTTTGTGATCTTGAGCTTCTCCGCTATCACAGTCCCCGCCACAAAACGTTTCTTGGAGCTCAAGTACAAGAAGAGTTACGAGTTGGCTTTGAAGCAGTGTCCTTTGTATCAGACAGAGAGAAGAGGAGGCGTCTCTGAGCTTAAAGAAAATCTGGTCAAGTTCTGGATGATGGCTCACACTTGTAGCCCACAGTTCGTCATGGCTCGCTCTGTCACTTGCACCACCTCTGGCTTCCTCTGTTTCCTAAGTGCCGTCACGTTGGCTGAAGCCATGGTCCGGTCTTACTTCCTACAACCACGATCACTTGGGTTCTGTAATGGAGACTCTGATTACAAATGGTCAACCACTCTGGTTCTTGTCTCTCAGGCTGCTACCATAGCCATTGGGACGGTTGCTCCAGCGAGCAGATGGTTTAGTGCAGTGAACTTGAGGTGTTCGTCAGGAGGAAACATATCTCTGAGACAAGACTTGAGAGTAGAGAGTTACTGGGTAGAGAGTCTCTCCGAGAAGAAAGAACATCCCTTGAACCAATGGATGCTCCATGGTCGCCGGAGCAGGAAGCTTGCACACGACTTAAACCGATGGATAATTGATCTCTGCATCGCAACACAGTATGGGATAGTCTTGGCAAGCAAGTTCCTCCGTTTCATCGCCGTCTACTGTGTGAGTAGGATCTTGCTATGTTGCTACTTCACTTTCAGGATCTCAAACGCTGACTCTTCGGTGCCAAACTCATCAACGAGACAGTTTGTTCTGCATCTTGAAGGAGAGGAGGAGCTGGTGGATTTCATGGCACGGAGCAACCGTGAGGCCACAAACCACTTGATACAAAAGGGTCGCAAGAAACAGCCTGTAAACTTGATAGAGCTCTTGGAGGCAACAAATCCCATCTCAAAAGGCTTTGAAGGGATTAGAGATTTTGACAGCGACGAGGTTGCTTCTCTAGCCTCTGGAGAGCCACCTAATTCATGGGCCCTTCCATTAGTAACGCTGACGAGCATCGCTGTTGCTCTTCCCAACATAAAGCCTTGCTCTCTCAAGAAGCTAGTGAAGGCTGTAAACGAGGCTTTAGTCTATGTCAAAAAGTTCGAAGAGGTCTTAGACATTGAAGGAGAGTTAGTTAACAGCAGGAAAGCCGCAGAGGTGGTTTGGTTAGGAGTTGATCTATACCATAAGTGGCTCAACGTGGATCTTCGAAAACTATCCAAGCAACAGAGAACAAGACCGCAAGAAGTTTTTCAAGAACTGGTGGAGATAGCGAAGAAAGAGTTTAACGAGTCGTGGGAGAAGAACCTGATGCAGAAGCCCTCGCGCTGGCCCATCAAGACGCAAGCAGCAAATTCCATGTACCGAATCAGCCAAACCCTTTGGAAGAAGTACGAGTCAAGAAACGTCGGAAGAGAGGAGGAGACTCTGTTGAGAGAGGTGGAGAGGATGGTGTCGGACATAGTAGCGGGATGCTTTTGCAACACGGCAAGAGTGGTGGGGATGAAGTGTTTGGTGACGGCGGTGGAAGTGAGGGAAGCGTCGGTGAGAGAAGCGGCGATGCATCTGGGGAGAACGGAGAAGATACTTGAGATCGTGGACAGGAGATGCATACCTGCTTTGTCTCACCTCAAAGTGGCTGACATGGATGGATGGAGAGAGTTTTATAGGACCAACCAACGAATCTCTTCCACTACACATCCTTCGTCTCAGTGTACCACACGTCAGCTCATTCTCACCATAGAGTAGACACTTAGTTTCATGTCAAAGCTAATAAATGAACGTTTTGTACACTAGGCAATAAATAAGCTTTCATGAACGAGTCATACCATCAGCTTTGCTTTTCCAAATCTTTATCTTCTTCTACTCGATATTTGCAATAAAATCGTCAACCGTCAACAAAAGTAAATCAAGCCCATTAAGCTGGTCTATATGTATTACGAATACTTTAACTTGAATTTAGTTTAGTAAACAAAGAGTCAAGATGGCCGAGTTGGTCTAAGGCGCCAGCTTCAGGTGCTGGTCCGAAAGGGCGTGGGTTCAAATCCCACTCTTGACAATACTTTTTGTTGTTTTTTATCTGACCATGTGGACAAGTGGAAATAAAGGACGTACATCCACATGGAGGCAGTTGAGATTTGACCAAGTGACCTTAAAGCTTAAACTCTAAACCCAACCACATGTTATCGGATCTCTCACATACCTATGTCCGGTGTGGTTGCTCACCTGCATTCACTTCTCTTTGTCTCCATGTCCTTTGCTTTTGTTATCATTATACACATCTATCTATGATGGTTCGACAATATTAGTCTAAGTAAAAGACAATAACCCCAAAACAACAAAATTAAGCTCTAAAACTCAATTATTTACTTGCTTTTAGGTTGAAGATCCCTACCCAATAGTAGTTGACCAGTCGATATATACATAGAGAGAGAGAGAGAGAAGTGATGGGCACAAAGTTGTTACACAAATATAGGCAGGTGAGACAGGTGTGAAGCGGTTGTTGTTCATCCTCACAATTATTTACCCTTTTCCAAAAAATTATTTACCCTCTGTAAACTAATTATGTTAGCCACATATTCTAATGTTGTATAGATCACACTATGCCAATGAATCTCTTTATAAACCAAACATTTCTTCACACACCCAAAATAAAAAAAAAGATTGAAAAAATATATGCATTGCAAATAAATAGCAGCTAAGCATAAGTTTGATCAAATATGAACTGAAAAAGGGAAAAGTTATGATCTCTATTAGACAGCTTAACAAACAAAGCTAACCCCACTTTCTCTTCATATTTAATCTCTCTTTTCTCTCATTCTTCTTTCTTCAACCATCTCCTTCTCTTACATCTGAGTCTTTAATATTAGCCCACTTCTCCACTTGTTTACATTCTGGTCCATGAGCAATCATATCTCAGTGATGAAGTTCTTGATTCTCTCTCTTGTCCTCTCCATATCCATGACTACTCTGTCCTATGCTCAGACATGTTCTGACTACAAATTCTCCAGCAACAATGTCTTTCAGTCCTGCAACGACCTCCCTTTTCTTGATTCTTTCCTCCATCACACTTACGATTCTTCCACAGGGAGCCTCCATATCGCTTATCGCCACACCAAACTCACCTCTGGCAAATGGGTTGCTTGGGCCGTGAACCCAACGTCTACAGGAATGGTGGGAGCTCAAGCCATCGTGGCTTATCCACAACCAGACGGCACTGTCAGGGTTTACACTTCCCCCATCAGAAGCTACCAGACAAGTCTACAGGAAGGTGATCTGAGTTTCAACGTCTCTGGCTTGTCTGCAACTTACGAGAACAACGAGATGGTTGTGTTGGCAAGTCTGAAACTTTCACAGGATCTTGGGAATGGTGGAACCATCAACACTGTGTGGCAGGATGGGTCAATGTCTGGGAACAGTCCTCTGTCTCATCCAGCTTCTGGCAACAATGTCCGCTCTATGTCCACTATCAATCTGGCCTCCGGTGTCTCTGCAGCTGCCGGAGGAGCTGGAGGAAGTTCCAAGCTCCGCAAACGCAACGTGAGTTGATTCTTTTGTGGACATACTTTGTTTTTTTTTTTCCAAACAGAGCATAATGATTGTGTGATAATGGTGGAGCAGATACATGGAATATTGAACGGAGTGAGCTGGGGAATAATGATGCCAATAGGAGCAATCATAGCTCGCTACCTGAGAGTCGCCAAATCAGCAAACGCTGCTTGGTTCTACATTCATGTTTCCTGTCAGGCTTCTGGTTACATCATCGGTGTGGCCGGATGGGCCACCGGTCTCAAACTCGGTGGCGACTCACCGGGGATTCAGTATAGCACGCACCGTGCTATTGGGATCGCTCTCTTCACCCTAGCAACAGTTCAGGTATATTACACACTTGCACATCAAAATGAAGACCAGTAATAGTATAGCTTGCTTAACCGGTTTATTGCCCGTGTCATGCATGCATTAGGTGTTTGCCATGTTTCTGAGGCCGAAACCAGATCACAAGCACAGGCTCTACTGGAACATATACCACCACACGATCGGCTACACAGTGATCATCCTTGGAGTGGTGAACGTTTTCAAAGGACTAGAAATATTGAGTCCCAAGAAGCAGTGGAGAAACGCTTACATTGGTATCATCATTGTTCTCGCCATCGTGGCCACCGTGCTCGAAGCCTTCACTTGGTATGTTGTCATCAGGAGAAGGAAACTAGAGGAATCTACTAAAGCAGCTCAGCGTGGACCACCCAACGGCGCTCGATCTCAGTATGCTTAATATCTATCCAGTTTCAGTAGGTTAATGTCGGGTTCTCATATGTACTTGAAATTTTTTTCTTAATTAGGATGTGTGGCTTTTGCCTGTATTCTGTTATTCTGAACAGATATGAATGATAACGTCTTTTTATTTTATCGACACTAAAGGAGTGTACATGTGGATTTAAATCATCTAAAAGTCTCAGCCCAGTCAAAAACTTAGACAGAGACAGAGAAGAGACAGTACCTAATACGTAACAACAATCTTTGATGCTTCAACAATGTATTTCAAAGATTAAACAGAAAGCATGAGCTTCTGAGTCTATGTGCGTGCTCAAGCAGTTTCTCGCAGCTTAAGGCTTGCAATCTCTCTCACCACCTGAGCTTTGTCTGCTTCAAACCTCTCGTCCTCTGCCACAAAAACAGACATGAATGAATCATAAACATTAAGAAGTTTGTTTACGGTGAGAATCAGTTCCATTCTCTGGTAACATACCTTTGTCCGGCTTCACATCAGCCAACAATCTAAGAAGCTTGGTCTTGTTCGCCGCCAGAATGTTGACGATATCTGAAGGCTTGTTTTGGTTTGCTACAAACAGCTGTACAACACACAACAATATCAGTGAATATGAATTGCACCTTCAAATTTTTATTTTCAAAGTTTAACTACATCACTGTAAGACAGACATTTTCCAAAAATCAAAATCCAATCCAAAGCCATTTGACTGATGATTATGTTTCACTGCGTAAAACTACTCCATGTGTTTAGGTTACAAGAAAGATACCTTAAAAACATGGAAAGCTTCTATCTGAATGGTCTTGCTTGATTCCTGCCAAAGAGTTTTTCATCCACAAGCTCAAGTTATTTCCAACACTTTTGGCAGAGCCAGACATCAAGAATAAAAACAATTCAGGATATAAGGTAAAGCATCTTACTCTGAGAAGATTCATGAGAATTCTCAAGTTATCCATAGACCTCACATATTTCGACATCACACCTGAATTTGACCTATCAAGTAATATATCGCCCAGCAGCTGTCAAAATTTCCAATATAAACAATCAGTCAGAGTGCTCTGTCACTGCTATCTTTTTCTGATATCTACACTCTAGGTTACTCTACCTTGATAGCCTGCCGTCTGGTTATATAATTACTTGACTCAAGAAGCTTTGAGTTGTAGTCTGCAAAAAACTGTAAACCAAAATAGCTGAGAATCTTACCGAGAGATGAAACAGATACGTGTGCTTTCAAGCAAAATTTTATGATTTGGTTCAGTGTAAGAGAACTTACCCAGTCTTCATTCTTGATGAGAAATTCAGCAACTGTAGACTTGTGCCTTGTCAGAAGTTCCTGCAAGAAACAAACCACGGAGCTGAAGTTATGACGGCGTGTTTAACGAGTGGCATACAATGGGAAAATCTAAATCGTGACAATAGGGGAATTTCAAAATATGGTCTAGTGTTCGGAAACCTTAAAAGTTGCAGCAGCATCAGCAGCAATGTCGAAATTGGGAAGCTGAATGTAGTAAAAAAACTTCTTCACGTGCTGTGAGTCCAAGACATATCTGAGAACCGGTTTCCATTATAATATGCCCCACAAAAACACCACCAGTAAACTGTTTGTACTATATCGTAATTCGATTTCTCTCTTTTCCGATTAAAAACATAATGTCGTAAGCGAAGGAAGATATAAATTCTGCTTACTTTGCAACAATCTGATGGCGGATGCACTCTCTAAACATAGTACCATAGTGTAACGCCATATCTGTGTTCTCGAAGCTGAGAGAAATCATAGAAACGGACATGAATGAGAAAAGGACCTCATTATCAAGATCTTAAAATGGAGACCCTGCACCTCCAAAACTCACCCTTCCACTAGAAAATCCATAAGATCAATGTTGGATTCGAGATAATCAGATGCAACAAGGCGTGAATTAACTTGTTGCCTCTGAAGATTTGCAACAACTTGTGTAGCATCTTTCCTGGCCTAACAAAAAGACAATATCTTATTGCATACCGCAGAGTTCATGTAAAATGGTTTGATTCAAGCAGGAGACGAGAGATGTTACCTCCAAGTTCAAATATGGAAGACATGTGAGCAAGCGGCGAAGAGTGTCTTCCTTAAAGAACTCCTGCGTCAACTGGGCGCAAGCTTCGGCTACAGGCTCAGCCTCGCTGTTTCCATAGAGTATTAACTTCAATTCTCGCAAGCTCTTGGTTAGTTCCACCAGCTGCAAGCAATTTCCCATAAATCAAACCAGGGATCAATCAGGATTGGAAGAAAAATGATCAATTGATTGATTTTCAGAAACAATAATACAGATTTCAGGGTAGAAATTTCTCGGAATCGAAAGCTGAATGTGGAGAATTTGATGGAGGAAAAAAGAAATAAAAAACCTTTTCCTCGCGTTTGGACTCTCGAAGGTCAGGGAAGGAGGCGGATCGATCGGCGTAGCGGAGGAGATCGCGAGTCTGTCGAACAATTTCAGCTGGAGTCCGCGGTTTGGATTTGAAAAGACCCTTCATGTCCACCTGATCCGCCGCGTCTCCGCCGGAACAACCAGAAGCGGAGACAAATTTTTCGCCGGACCCAGCAGTGTAGCAGCTCCTCTTTTTGACCCGCACGATCCTATCGACAATCGTACTTGTACCACCTGGAACTAGGGCTTACTAATGATTAATGGAAGACACAGAAGCTCTCTCTCTCTCTCTCCCTCTCTGTCGAATCCACAAGCGTATCAGTGTATCACGATGTGCTTCTTTCTTCTCTCGCGTCCTCTGTTTTTAGCTTCAGAGATCTCTTTGCTTACAGTAATTCTATTAACGATTCTCAAGTCAAAACATTTATTAATTATTACTACTGTTTATTAGTCGCACACCTTCTTAATTAAGTGGGATTCAACAGCCTAATAATGGGCCACAGAAGCTTAAAGGCCCAAACCCAAATCAGAGCATCTTTGTATCATCAATCAACCTGAATATGACAAAACAAGATTAACTATTTTCACATTTCTGGTAGATGCATCCACCGTGTCGATTGATAAAATAGCAAATTCTGTGAGAATTCATAATGTTTACCACAATTGATATGAATCTCTCTTTGAAGTTACCATCATTCTTTGTTAAAATCTAAATAACTCAAAGTTGGGATCATTCTGCATCGACAAGCATTTACATAAACATATAAAAGATCAACACTGTCACTACTCACTACCATCCGTGGGGAGATGATAAACACAAGAACAAGTTTTAAATTTGAAGCAGAGAGATGATAGGTGTTCAAACATCAAAGTCCCAACTGGCTCTGCATATCCAATATAGTCTTTGCTGATTTCTGCAGCTTCTCGGTCTCTTCGTCAGTCATATGCACATTGGTCACAGCCACCACACCGTTGCGTCCAAGCAGAGCCGGTAAGCTGAGGAAGACGTCACCATCGTCAACACCATAGAAGCCACGAGCAAGTACCGTGACCGGGTGGATCTTGCGCTGGTCTCGGAGGATAGTCCGAGCCAGATTGGCAACGGAGTAGCCAATGGCCCAAGAAGTGTAGCCCTTGAGCCCAATGACTTCATAGGCACTGCCAATGACGGTTTGGTGTATGTCTTCAAGGGTTTGTTTCTCGTAAGCGATCTGATTCTTCTCCAGGAAGCTTAGCACAGGGATGCCTCCAACACTTATGCTCGACCACAATGCCACCGAGCTGTCTCCATGCTCCCCTACGATAAATGCCTTCAACCACAACATTATATTTGTTGCTCAAATCATTAAATTGGAGAGACACTCCACAAATCTGAAATCCCTAACCTGTACGTCCTGAGCATTGACGTCGAGATGATCGGCGATTAAGAATCGGAACCGAGAGGAGTCGAGATTGGTGCCCGATCCAAGCACTCGATTCACCGGGAAGCCGGAGAGTTTCCAGGCGACGTAGGTCAAAACGTCGACGGGATTGGAGACGATGAGCAAGATCGAATCGGGAGATGACTTCGCGAGCGGAGGGATGATGTGGCGGAAGAGAGAGACGTTCCTCTGGAGGAGATTGAGCCTGGACTCGCCTGGGTTCTGTCTTGCCCCGGCGGTGACGATGCAGAGATCGGATCCGGCGGTGACGTTGTAGTCGACGGAGGCGGTGATTTTGGTGCGGGGGAGGAAAGCGGCGGCGTGCTGGAGATCGAGCATCTCGCCGCGGAGCTTGTCAGGCTTGGCGTCGACGAGTGCGATCTCGTCTGCGAGATCCTGAGTGAGGATGGTTTGAGCGATGGCCATGCCGACGTTGCCGACGCCGACGACGGAGATCTTGGTACAGCGGTTGGAGGGAATTGGTGGATCGGAGTTTTGGATCGGCTTGAAAAAGGCGCTGGTCAGATCCAGACCGCCCGGACCTAACGACGAACCTGGTGCGTTACTCTTCTCCATTACTGTTCAGTTTTTGGCGATTTGATGATTTTGTTTCTTCTTCTTTGATTCTTGTGAGTGAGTGAATAGTCTACTTATAGGGAACTGAAGAAATGTCACCGAGTCGTCTCTCTCCACTATTATTCATGTTTGTGCCTTAAAAAAAACAAGTCTAGTATATTCTTACGAATAAATATGTACCTAAACTTTTTTTTATTCTCAACCATACCAAATATGTGCACTAAACCCAAATTAAAAATATCTTCAAGTAGCTTTTGGTCGGAAACAAGGAGCAGCACACTGTTTGAGTGTTTGGTTTTAACTTTTACCATTTTTTTTTTCTCGATATGGTATTCATTTAAAAATTAAAATTCTCTTAAAGAAATTCTGAAACTTTCTTAGAAAGAAAAAAATCAAAGTCAAAGGCATCTTTTGTTGACATGGTTAAATTATTAACTAGGAGTTTTGCTTGCTATTGCAAATATCCACCAAAAGGATACAAGTTTTGATAGAGTCCATTGTTTTGGATTGTCAAGAAAGCAGTTTTGATAGTGTTTGACTTATGCATCAACCGACAAAGAAAGCATATTATTGTGTTAATATGGATTTTAAGAGATAAGACTTGACATCTAAGTGTTAATCTAAAGCGAGAATGAGTTCATGGGTAGTAAACTGAGACGAAGGATGAGAGAAAGAGATGGATTGATTAGTCCTATAAAACTCTCTCCATTCATCAATCTTTGCCACTTTGTGTTGAGACAAAGCAGGCATGCATCTCCTGTCCACGATCTCAAGTATCTTCTCTGTTCTCCCCAGATGCATCGCCGCTTCTCTCACCGACGCTTCCCTCACTTCCACCGCCGTCACCAAACACTTGATCCCTATCACCTCTGCCGTGTTGCAAAAGCATCCCGCTACTATATCCGACACCATCCTCTCCACGTCTTTCAAAACAGTCTCCTCCTCACTTCCGACGTTTCTCGGTACATGGAGTTTGGCTGATTCGGTACATGGAGTTTGCTGCTTGTGTCTTGATGGGCCAGCGCGAGGGCTTATGCTTCATGCACAAAATCAGATTCTTCTGCCACGACTCGTTAAACTCTTTCTTCGCTATATCAACCAGTTCTTTAAGAACTTCTTGTGGTCTTGTTCTCTGTTGCTTGGATAGTTTTCGAAGATCCACGTTGAGCCACTTATGGTAGAGATCAACTCCGCAGCTTTCCTGCTGTTAACTAACTCTCCTTCAATGTCTAAGACCTCTTCGAACTTTTTGACATAGACTAAAGCCTCGTTTACAGCCTTCACTAGCTTCTTGAGAGAGCAAGGCTTTATGTTGGGAAGAGCAACACGATGCTCGTCAGTGTTACTAACGGAAGGGCCCAAGAATTAGGTGGCTCTCCAGAGGCTAGAGAAGCAACCTCGTCACTGTCAAAATCTCGAATCCCTTCAAATCCTTTTGAGATGGGACTTGTTGCCTCCAAGAGCTCTATCAAGCTTACTGGTTGTTTCTTCCGACCCTTTTGTATCAAATGGTTTGTGGCCTCACGGTTGCTCCGAGCCATAAAATCCACCAGCTCCTCCTCTCCTTCAAGATGCAGAACAAATCGTCTCGTCGATAGATTTGATCGTGAAGATTCGGCGTTTGCTACAGTATCACATCTGACGGTGAAAAACTACAAACACAGCAAGATTATACTCCCAAAGTAGACCGTGATGAAACGGAGAAACTTGCTAGCCAAGACTAACACATATTGTGTTGCAATGCAGAGATCAAGTATCCACTGGTTTAAGTCGTGTGCAAGCTTCCTGCTCCGACGACCATGGAACATCCATAGGTTCAAGGGACGTTCTTTCTTCTCAACGAGACTCTCAGACCAGTAACTCTCTACTCTCAAGTCTTCTCTCAGACATTTCTTTGCTCTTGATGATGGACACCTCAATTTCACTGCACTAAACCATCTGCTCGCTGGAGCAATGGATCCTATGGCTACTAGAGCGGCCTGAGAGACTAGAACCAGAGTGGTTGACCATTTGTAATCAGAGTCTCCATTACAGAACCCAAGTGATCGTGGTTGTAGAAAGTAAGACCGGAGCATGGCTTCAGCCAACGTGACAGCACTTAAAAAACAGAGGAAACCAGAGGTGGTGCAAGTGACAGAGCGAGCCATCACGAACTGTGGGCTACAAGTGTGAGCCATAATCCAAAATTTCATCAGATCTTCTTTAAGCTTATTAACCCCTTTCCTTCTCTCTGTATACGAAGGACACTGCTTCAAAGCAACTCGTAACTCTTCTTGTACTTGAGCTCCAAGAAACGTTTTGTGGCGGGGACTGTGATAGCGGAGAAGCTCAAGATCACAAACATGAGAAGCGTTAGAACGATGACGAGAGCGTGTTCTTGAGGGAAAACGTAGATGGCACCTGTACCCAGTTGGATACAGATGTTGACGAGGTCGGTGATGACAAGAATCCCTAAAGCCATGAGGTTCATGAGGAGGTCTTGGTTGACCATGACACCAAGAGAAGGCATGGAGTTAGCCATGACGGTGCAGACTAAGACGCTGCTGCTGAGTTTAGCGAGCTGATCCTGGCGACTAGGCATGCAGGTGTTGAGATCCACGGAGAGTTTGACGCAGATGGTGATGAAGGTGAGAGTGGTGGCGTTGAGAGAGAAGAACTTGCAGGGAAACCAGAACTTGCGGTGGCGGAAGCCGTGGAGAAGATCGGCAAACATGGAAACTCCACATATCAGTGAAGCTGCTGCCACGTAGATACCTATTGATGGCAACGGTTTGCTGAACTCTGCGTCGCTTAGATTACCTTGGGAGTCGCACCCCATCACTAGAGAGAGAGAGAGAGAGAGTGGTGTCTTGATGTTGATAAAGATCTCTCTCGCAATCTCTCGAGTCTTCTGTTTTCTGTTCTGCTTCGTCTTTCTATGGAGAGAGAGAGAGTTACTTTCGTGTTGTGATGTAGAGAAAGATTGTTGGGAAATTGAATCGTCACTGTTGATTACACTGCTCTAATCAATCAAGTCACTTTTTAATGTGCTGACGTGTGTCTCTCTTCACCACACGATTTTAATGTGCTTACGTGTTTCTCTCATCACCACACGATTTGTGATTAGTGGGTGATTAGTTTTAGGGCTCTCATTAGAGTGAAAGATTCAGGCAAAATTTTGGTTCTGGGTTTAAGTTTCTATTTGCTTCTCAGTTCTCACCAATTGCATTCGTCAATAATTGGATTTTGAATCTGGGCAATAGCTGCACCAACATCTAAGCGAAGCTTTCGATGTTCACTTGGATTTGATTTTGTCATCGACATTGATAATATGCCTATGGCTCGAGAGTTGTTCGGAATTCTGGGTAATTCGATTGCTATCAAACACCGAGCCAAGTCTGTTCCATTTCCAATCCGAAGATTCTCGCTTTGGTCAACGAAGAAAGACCCAGATCTCGAATCAGCCCTCTCGCGTAACAAGAGATGGATAATCAACAGCCGGCTCAAGAACATAATCTTAAGGTGTCCCAATCAGGTCGCACCGATCAAGTTTCTGCAGAAGAAGTTCAAAAGCCTCGATCTTCAGGGGAAGGCGTTGAATTGGGTTAACAAGTACCCTTGTTGTTTCCACGTTTATCTCGAGGACGATGAGTACTACTGTCGTCTGACGAAACCCATGATGATGCTTGTAGAAGAAGAAGAGCTTGTCAAAGACGCACAAGAGCCTGTGTTAGCAGATAGGCTTGCCAAGCTGCTTATGATGAGTGTTAACCAGCGTCTCAACGTCGTCAAGCTTAACGAGCTTAAACGGAGCTTTGGGTTCACCGATGATTACGTCATCAGGATACTGCCAAAGTACTCTGAATTGTTTCGGTTAGTGAGTTACAGTGGGAGGAAGAGTTCGATGGAGATCGAGCTCTTGTCTTGGAAGCCTGAATTGGCCGTCTCTGCGGTGGAAGCAGCAGCGGTTGAGTCTGGCTCTGAGCCTAGCTTCTCTTGCTCTCTGCCCACCACGTGGACTAACCCGTGGGAGAGGTTCTTGGAGTTTAACGCTTCTCCTTACGTATCTCCGTATCAGGATCTTGGGGATCTTGGGGAGGGTGAGAAGGAGAGTGAGAAGAGAAGCGTTGGTGTGGTGCACGAGCTGCTCTCGCTGACGCTGTGGAAGAAGCTGTCGATGGTGAAGCTGAGTCATTTCAAGAAGGAGTTTGGTTTGCCGGAGAAGCTAAACGGTATGCTTCTGAAACATCCTGGGATCTTCTATGTCTCGAACAAGTATCAGGTTCACACTGTGCTTCTCAGGGAAGGGTACAGTGGCTCGGAGTTGGTTCACAAGGACCCGCTCGTTCTTGTCAAGGATAAGTTTGGGGAGCTGATGCAGCAGGGCTTGTATGAGTATAACCGCAGGCGGTATTTGGCTAATCTGGAGAAGAAGAGAGAGAGAGGTGTTGTGTCTGTGGTGCGAAAGAAAGACAGGATTGATGATGGAGACGATGTTGATGAGCAAGAGAACCATGGTGGTATGTTTGATCCAGAAGAGAGGAAAAGGTTCTATCAGATTCTATTCAGTGACTCCTGATACGAGCATTGTGGTGAAGTTGAAACGTTATGCCGCTGAGAGAATTGATGATATATGTCAACAACTCTTGGGACAGGCAGCTTGTGAGAACAAATGTGTAGCTTACAACAAAATCATACTGTCTCAGAGATGGCACTGCATAGAGCAAGGTCAAGATGGAATCTGATTTCAGTCTTGGGAAGCAGGCGAGAATCAAAAGGGAAGAGATTGCTGATTCAATGCTATATCCACAATGAACAGTGTGTGGAAAGTTTGTTGATATTCAGTGAAGACCTTTGCAGCACTTTGGAATTTTCTGCTATTGGCAGAACCAAACCCATGCCAATTGAGTTAATGCTCCTACAGTGACTCATTCTACTTTTGTTTTGTCACCCCATCAGTGTTCATTATCTTATCCAGTGACAATTTTCTCCTTCTTATCCAGTAGGTAGAAAGTTAATACCTTTCATACCTCATATTTTTTCTTGAACTCCAACATTGAATAAAGCTTTTGGCCACTCTTATCTATTGAGGTAAATTTGACGTTTTGCTTCGTTACACATGGTCTTTTTGTGTTGCGTAAGTAGAGTTTGGTTCATAAAAGTGACTTTATATCCACTTTCCTCTATGTATGCGTGCGTGTGTGTTTGTGTTTATGATATTATGGAATATAAAACGAGAAAAGGTAACAAATAGACTAGCTTGGATAACATGATAAGAGGTGTGAGTTGGGAAAGAGAAGAAAAAAAGGAAAAAAGTGGTCAAAAGCCAAAACCAGGAAGCTGCATTGCTTTGACTAAGTAGTTACAATTGGTGATGAGAAGATGTTTGTGCGGCAAGTGGGACAGGAGGGGTTGGAGGAGAACCACTGCTGAATGCAGTGGACATGGAATCCATGTTTGCATCTGTCCAACACACGGAGGGTGTCACCGTTCTGGAATTCAGACAAGCAAATGATACACTCTGCTTCAGCACCTGCCAGGTTCAGACCAGGGGAGTAGACAAGCGTCGAGGCAGCTTCCGAACGGGATGGCTCAGGGTCAGTGTCAGGGTCGGGTTTAGGGTCACGTTGGAGGGCTGGACGAAGACAACAACGGAGAGCAGCGTGGAGAGAGAGGACACAGATGAGAGAAGAGAATACGATGATGAGAAGGAGAGAGACGTTGGCAGAGAAGTCATTGGAATGAGAGTAAGGCTTCCAGCTGCAACTCTGTGACGTACATGTAGAGTTAAGCTGGGTTTGAGGATCAGATGATAGCAGCCGCATTGGAAACTCTGATAAGTTCCCAAAACAACTTCTGTCTTGTTGTGTTTATAGACAGAGAGAGAGCAAAAAAGAAAACGCATTTAAGAGAAGAGGTCACACCAGACCAGAGCGTGGTTTTGGTCTTATTTGTGAGGAGGAGGACGTGGATGGGTCTAGAGAAAGGGACCACTTTGAGTTATGAAGATGAACACTTTTGTTTGTCGACAAGATATGAGATAACTCGCTATAATTCTTTCCCCTCCTGCTAAGGCAACTCTACAGTTCCTCTTTTTTTTGCTTAATCTTTAATGCTTCATATAGTTTCAATTTGGTTTTCTCAGTTAAGTGTAGGATATCCATACACATACTAGTCCAGTTACGTGTTCTATACACACACTCACACTACAACTCTTATCAACTCTTTACAAACTCCTTATTACTACTCTATCACTTCATTTTAGTCAACAAGAGAGAGAGGCAGTAGAAGGAGGACTATGGAAACGACAGCGTTTCATGTAAGGTCTTACTGTTGGACATTGAGGTCAAATGGACCAACACTAATTTTATTCATTCCATTCAAAAATGCTTAGATTAAGCTCAAAAAGGGAGGAGCATGAAACTCTCGTTTTTGTTTCAGTTCTATTTTGTATCTGTCATTGTACAATATAGAAGATAGGACAAAGACAAAATTCTTAGCTAGAACAAAAACCAAAGAAGCTCAAAGCCTGAAAACTATGGGACTCTAATAAGTTGTTCTCTAAAAAACTCACTCCAAAATCATTTCATCTTCGTAAGTGTAGATATATCAGGTCTCTAAGCAAGCATCAGTTGCTGCAAAAAGTTCAAATCATTAGAAATCCATCATACTTGGTCAATTCTCAAGAGCAATGGCTGTTGTAAATTCTTACCTCCGTGTTGTTCATGTATCCAAAACCGTGCATCCCTCTTTCACCAGACATTCCCCAACCCAAACCGCTCATATGAACACCTCCTCCTCCTCTAGATTCTATTCCCATTCCATTGTTTCTACCGTAACCAAACCCCAACTCTGTGTTGCTGTAACCGTGATAGCTACGCCCTTCACCAACTGTTCCCCACTTGTCTCCTATGCTCCCTACTCCAGAGTTCCCATTCAACCGTCCAGTCATCACAGAGTTTGATATGTATCCCGCACTAGCATTATCCGCCCATAGCTGATTTCGAGTGACAAAACCATTCCCTTGGCCACCGTACATGCTCAGGTTTGCATTATATCCTGGAGCAGGGCTAAAAGGTCTTCCAAAACCTCCATTGGATCCACTTACGTAACTCTGATTCTGGTTTGCCTCAAAATTCAGCTCAATCCCGAATCCATGGCAAAACGGAGAGAAGCTGCCGCCTCTGTTGCCTGCTGCTGGACTGTACCTACCTTCAGGTTTTGCTCCATAGCCTAAGATTGGACTCAGGTTATACCCTTGCGTGTAATCATTAACAAAAGTAGTCATCTTGCTCATCAGGTTCCGGTTTGGAGTGGGAGAGGTCTCCTTTGGGACGGCCATTTTGACCTCAACCATCTTACCATCGAGCTCATGGAATGACCTCTGCAGCACTCTGTCCACAGCATCCTCCGAATCATATGTAACGAACCCGAACCCTCTCGGGCGTTGGGTTTTGTGGTCATACATGACCACATGATCCATGACTGTCCCAAACTGAGAAAAGTAGTTCTTCAACTCTGCATCTGTCACTGATGACGCCAACCGTCCCACAAATATCTTCTTCGTGTTTGATGATGGCCTTGGCGATCCCTGGGGACTGCTGCTACTTTTGCTCAATGTCATCATATGATCCTCTCTTGGAACTGCCTTCTTCGCCTCCACCTCCACACACCAAGAAGATTAAGTTAAGAAATCATAGCTGAATCTGTAATCTTGAACTACCACAAATGTAGCATTACACTAACAAGACACTCGAGAAACCACTGATATCATGAAAATGCAAAATAGCTGCAAGTTTCAATCACTGAAACTAAAAAAGGAAGTCACTTTCAAAAGCAAGAAAGATTATTCAAGGCAACACAAGAGTATTGGTATCTTAAGCTATTGTGATGTTGGTTTTGGACTTTGGAGAGATGTTTCAAGCTTACAGATTTGCCATCAATCATGTGTTTCTGCAAAACGACTCTCTCAGCGACATTGGGGTCTAGGAAGACGATGAAACCAAAGCCACGGCCACGCCCAGTGAACCGATCCTTCATGATAACCACTTGTGAGACCTCACCATACTTCTGAAAGTAGTCACGGAGACGATCTTCACTCGTCTCCCAAGATATCCCACCGATGAACAGCTTACATGATTCCATCTCCATTCTGCAAAATACATAAGAGGAGAATCAAACTCCGACTATATAATAAGCACATCTGATTCAAATGAGTTATCTTCTCTAGCTCATCAAACCCAGAAACGACTCAATCTAAACTATTACATGAAACATCGAAATGCATATGAAACAAAGAGGATGAATCGAACAAACCTCGTCGGAAAACAAAAGTAGGGCCGTGATCGGAATCCGGAAACCGATCGACACAAGACCGGGACTTATGAAGAAAGAAAAGAGTCGATCAGAAGCAACACAAGGAACAATACAAAAAGACAAATAGAAGAGAGAATCTGTACCGAGTAAGAGAAGAGAAGAAATGGAGAATGAAATCTAAGATTCAAGGAGGAAGCTTTAATAAGAGGGCGAGAGAGAGAGATAGAGAGTTGCCCTTAACCTCTCTCTCTTTCTGCGATTTTTTGTCCTTCTCTTTTTCCTTAGCTTCTCTCAGAATACAAAAGAAAAAACCAACAAATCATTTTGAAAATGGGCCCAATTCAAATATGTTTTTTTCTGAAAAAAAATTGAGGAGTTTTTTTTAGGGAAATTGCAGTAAGTGACCATATTATGAGGTATAATTAAGTGAATGACAATAACAAAAGAATGGCTAAAATATACGGTGTATATTGTGTATTATATACAATTTAGCCCTTGTATGTCGAATTTTCAATTTTTTTGAAAAAATATCACTTTTTCCTCGGCGAGTGAAACTGACAGAAAAGAGAAAAAAAAAAAGAGAAGCGAATTTGGGATTTTGACTGGGAAGAGTCTAAGGTCGGAAAATCGAAGGAGGATTAGTTAAAGGGACCGTAAGTCCGACGGACACCAGCGGAAGAGGAGGTAGAAGTCCGACGCTATTCGTCAGCGTCTAGGCTGAAGAAGGCACCGCACTGCGGCGGCGGTTTCATTGAAGTGATTACCGATTCCTCATCCGCTCCTGCCGACCCAGCTTCCACTGAAGTTAGATCGATCTACAACAACCGTAGATCCGTGATTAGACGTCGGAGATCCGGTCGTCGTCCATCGTTTAACCCGGTCAACCGAGACGCGCTTTTGACGGATCCGGATTGGGTCTAAGGCCGCTTCCGGATTCTGTATCTGAGCGACAGCTCGAACAGCCGAGTCAAGATGGTAGATCTGAAAACCATCCGGCGTCGAAATCGGCGATTGAGTCTTTGCGAGGGTTGAAATCTCTGATTGCCACATATGCGCGGAGGCCAATTGCGCTGTGTGCACGGAGGTTTTCGAGCCGAGAGGGAAACGCGTGAGATGTCATGTAAGTGAGATGTCATGTAAGCACATTTTCCACCACGACTGCATCGTATCGAGCTATCAATCCGGATTTGGATGTTCTGGGTGTTCGATGTTGTTCATGTTATTGTAGACTTGTAGTTCCCACTCTTGTTACCATTTTGATTTTCTACGCTTGATGTTAATGTATAATTCTTTGTTATACCATTTTCTACCTTTTGTAAATAGTATAAGGACATTTCACTATAGTATAGTCTACATTCTTTCTTCCTTTATTCCTTTAACTATTGTAGTATGAATTCGTAGATTCTAAACTTCAGCTATAAACCCTAAACTCCAAATTAGATGTACTTGTATTTATCAGTTTGGGTTGAGTTGAATGTACTGTACATTTATTTGTTTGGGTTCACTAATGTTGATTAGGGTTTAATTTTAACTGGATTCATCCTCAAATACAAAACCTAAACTTCAAATGGAATGTATTGTACATTTGTGGATGAAGTTTAATTCTGCATCTGTTAATGGTTCGACAAAAAAAAATTGGGGATGAAGTTTCCTGCTCACGAACAAGGTCAGCGACGTCACCAATTTTTTTAGGGAAATATTCCCGTCCAGTTTGAGGGACAGAATTGGATAGCAAAGATTTCTCTTTGTTAGTGGCTTAATTTTTAAGATACAATGGCTATATTCTTAATTTTAAAGCCCAATATGGTTAGACAGCAAATTAACCCTTTTTTTTATGTGTGTAGCAGAGAAAAGGGAAGTGAAGTGACGAGTAGGAACAGATTTGGCAATTCTCTCTTCTCTTCCTGTGTAAGAGACGATGGCATTCTCGTCATTTACTCCATTCTTCTCTGTAATAAAAAGCCCATTAACTTTCTAAAGCCCATAATTGGGCCCAATCCAGATGAAAGACAGACAGTGACGAGATGAAATTTGAAATTGAAAATCAAATTCCCTCTGCTTCGTCTTCTTCTTCTTCCACATTTTCAAAATCGCATAGCCTCCAAACATAAAAATGGCAGCTCGATACAATTCTTACGATTCTAGATCATCGTCATCTTACTCAGTGAACTCAGATCTATCTCCCTCCGCCGAATTGAAAAAGCCATCTTCATCCAAGGCCATTGTCAGATCCAAACCTTCCTACTTAACCAAAACAGCTAAACCCGATAATCCTGGAAAACTCACTTGTATGATGAAGAAGCTGATGGAGATGAAGAAGACTAATTCCAGGACCAAGCTAGTGATTCCCGAGGAACTGAAGAAAATTGATACTGTGAAAGGAGGAGGAGGGAAGAGCACATTGGGAACGCTGCAGAGGAAGCTGTTCGGGAAGGAGAAAGCCAAGGCCTTGACAGAGGTCAAAGGGAACACCAGGACTCTCTCTATGGTTCTCCGCAGCGAGAGGGAGCTTCTGAGCATGAACAAGGACCAGGAGATGGAAATCTCTGAGCTTCAGTTTCAGCTTGAAGAGAAGAACAGAGAAGTAAATCTTCCTTCTTCCTCTCTTAAAACCTCGGATTAGAATGTGCGAAATAAATTTCTATTCCTGGATTCTCAACAAATCCAATCAGTTATTTTGGATTTTGGATTGATTTTTTGCAGGTGGAGAAGTTGAAGGATCTGTGTTTGAAGCAACGGGAGGAGATAAAGTCGCTGAAGAGCGCAATTCTGTTTCCGGATGCGACGAACAGCCAAGTGCAGGAGCTGAATCAGGCAAGGCAAATCATCCCTGACCTTCAAAAGCAGGTCATTTCACACAATGGCCAGCTCCAATGCATTGCTCAAGACCTTGCTGAGGTTTTTTTCTTTTCCCCGGTCTCACTTGTTATGCTCTTTGATCAGTCGATTAGCATCTCATGCAAGCCTTGTCTTAGTGAGCTAGCAGCTTTAAATGGATGAGCAATTCTTGATTGGTCTAGGATCATTTGAGACTTCTCTAGTTATTATATGTTCTGTTTCAGTTTTGGTGTGATTCAAGGATTCATAAAAGAGAATTGTTGTTTATTATGTGGCCTCTTGGACGTAGAATCTGAGTATAAAGCTTTATCGGGTTGTAACTCTTAAGGAATTTTAATCAGGGCATTGCTGATTTTCTTCTATATAGCTTTTGACTAGTATTATATTAACTCGTTTAATCAGGTGAAGGCAAACAAGTGCTCGTCAGAAAGCTGTTACTGGCAAGCACAGACGTCTTCTTATGATTCATTGGTAAGTAAGTATGATCAAAAGTAGGAACACTGAATGATCTAAGTATGGAACCAACAACTTATACTGGCAAGAGTCTTTATTTATTATCAGGAATTTAGCTCAGGAAGCCCTGATGGATTGGATCTAGAAGATCTAAATCCATGCCTAACCCCTTATACCAAGACGAAACCCAAGGTTCTTGCATTCTTTAACCTTGAAAGTCAGACCTCAGGTTGTTTGTTGCTCATTAGCTCACAAGATAAGGGTGAGTTAACGGTTTGATGTCTCGTGCAGGAGTTTGAGAGGGTTGATTCAGCGGAAGAGAGCTTATCAGGGAGAAGCACTGTGACAACAACAACAACAACAACAGGAGGTAAAGTAAGATCGAGTTCAACAAGTGTAAAGCTGTCAAGGAGCTCAGAGGGAAAGTCAGGGCAGAGATCAGAGGAGAGAAAAGGATGGTATAAGGGTGGGAGAATGTTTTAAGGTCAAAAGGTAACCTTTTATTCCACTTGATATGTTATGTCTTGTCCTCTCGATCCCAGAGGATCGTATGATTTTGGTAATAGCGTATGGATGCAATATTGAGCTGAATAAGTTATTAGTGTTGTGTGTAAAATAGAAGTCGTTTAAAATAAGGTAAATTGGTATGGTGGATGAAGAGAGAGAGAGACAGAGAGCAGATCTGTTCCTTTGCTTCCCCTCTTCTCTCTATCTCATGATTAAATCATCATTGATATTGTTGTTATCAGAGATAATGATGTTTAAAGTTAATATAGACAGTATTTGTTCTTCTTCTGTTTCTCCGGCTCATTTCCGTTTCTGTTCTCTACAACAATCCTTTTCTTTATTTTCTCAAAAATTTGACATCCTTTTTTTGTGTAAGGTAATTCACGAGCTATAAGATGATCGCCATCGCCAATGTTTTCATGGAGATCCAAATTCTCACACATACCGAATTTTGGGTATATCAATCATGTTTTAAGATGTCGATTTAACTTTCTAATATAAAAACATATCCAAAATCAAGATATCACACGCCAACAAGTTTTGGCCAAGACTAGTCATATCCTAATTAACAACGCCAAATCTTGTCATATACCTAAAAAATTAAACTTCTACAATACTATTTCGCAAATTAACTCCAATATACGAGTACTACTATTAGTATTAATTGATAAAAATATCCGGTAACGGTGCTTGCTCGTGGCTTCTATGGTGTTGACGGTGGTGGCGTCTTCCTCAGCCTCCCGGCTCTGCTTGGGCGCAACGGTGTGGTGGCTGTGACCAATGTGCATATGACTGATGAAGAGACCGAGAAGCTTCAGAGATCAGCTAAGACTATATTGGATATGCAGAGCCAATTGGGAGTTTGAACACCATCATCTCTTTGCTTCAAATTTTAAACTTGTTCTTGTGTTTATTGATAGTGTCACTGTTGATCTTTTATATGTTTATGTAAATGTTTGTCTATGCATAATGATCCCACTTTGAGTTCTTTAGATTTTGAAATAATGGTCGTTTGTAACAAAGAGTGATGGTGGAATCAAGGGGAGATTCATATCAATCGTGGTAAACATTATGGATTCTCACAGAATTTTGCTATTTCATCAGTCGACGACATGGTTGATTGTACCAGAAATGTGAAAATGGTCTCGATCTTGTTTGTGATACAAAAAGGCTCGGATTCGGGTTTGGGCCTTTAAGCGTCGTGTGGCCCATTATTAGGCTAATAATCCCACTTAGTTAAGAAGGTGACTAATAAACAGTTAGTAATAAATGTTTTGACTTCGAATCAAATCGAAATAAGCAAAGGGATCTCTGAAGCTAAAAGAGGACGCGAGAGAAAAAGAAAGAAGCGTCCCGCTTGGACAATTTGTGCCAAATTGGCAATTCTTTCTTCTCAGTCATACCCAAATCAACAAAAATCAAAAATCTAATTTGTTACTCTCTCTCTCTCTCTCGAAGATGCAAAAGAGGAAACCGACGATGGTACCGATGGATCTGATTTCTCATACAGAATGGTCGTTGACTCTCGTGAGTTACAAATCCCAAGTCTCTCCGTTAACCTTTCTTTTCCATCTCTTGTTAATCATTTTAATATTTCTGGGTCCTAGGTTACACCAAGGTCACTAAAGAGAAATCTCGTCTCCGTCTTTTGATCCTTGTTCAGGTACTTTCGGCAAATTGAATTTTGATTGCTCGCGTGATTCGGTCCAAAAACGCTTCTTATGATGCCTAAATTACTTGAATGAATAATGATTTTGAGCACTACATCATCCAATTAGGGAATTGAACTAATTGCAATTAGCTCAATCACTTATAAATCGTCACTCGAGCTAGCTTTGACTCAAAAAATTATCTATCAAATTCTCAAAACAAGTTGTCATTTCAACTTGTATGTCATTTTGATTCTAGTATTCTTGAACTTGTGTAGTATTTAGCTAAAATGTGTTATATTATCTGGGAAAATGTATCTCGTTTAGCTCAAATTTTTCAGCTTCTTGTTTGCAGGCTGTGATTTATATAATTGGATTATCGTGTGCGTTTGTGACAAGGACTAAAGAGGATGAGAGGAACACTCTTGGAATAGCTTCTACTGCATTTGGCTTAGTGTGTTCATTGATAGGAGAATTAGGTTTAACCTTCTCTCCTCAACACATAATCAAACGCATCGTTTTGTTCTGGTTTCTTTGTAATCGGTTCTTGTCTTTTTTATAAAGGTTGCAGACGTAGCAAAGTGAATCTTTTACGGCTCTACCTGGCTGCATCTACCCTTGTCATGCTTCTTTTGGTGTTTTGTGCTGTTAGGAGCAGATTAACAATGGAGGTAAGTCACAACAAACTTAACTCATATATATACTTTACATACACTGCCATTTCTTATCAGCATCATTAGTCCTTTAGCTGGTTGTCTTGTTAAGAAATAGATGGAATCGATCCAGTCATGGTCGTTTACTGTCTTAGTTTGTAAACAAAGGGTAATTGTGGTGGCAATGGTATCATAGCAAATATGAAAATGAGCTTGGCGTTGTTGCAATCATCTGACTCTATAAATGTTCTGGGCACGGAATAGCTCGGGAACAACAGCGAAGCTTGAGCTTGTAGGATTCATTTGTGCTCAATTGGGTAAAACTTCATCAAGATTATTCTCACTTCTTCTTTCGATGCCACTTGAGTAATAGATATTTGGTCTTTTGTTTTTTTGGTCGTGTGCAGGAGCGGTGGTGCAGATATTGGCGATCATCGTAACGGGTTCTCTTGCCAGTAATATGTCTCCACCTACGAAGACAGCATAGAGAAGAAACAGAGAAATTGGGTACTGTCATTTGTGATTCTTCTACATGAAGAAGACAGTTAGATATTTAAAGTTCTTGTACCGTTTAGTTATTTTTGCATCAAATGAATAGTAGTTTAATAACGATGTTTAATATCGCTTTTTAATTCATCATTCAAAACAGGGGCAATTTTCTTCTATATACCATCACTTGGTTTTGTTTCCAAATGACCAAATCTACACCCTCCTCATTGCATGTTAATCAAACCTAGCACATGGGATAGTGAAATGACCATTTTCTCTTTTATGACAAAATAATTGTCCATAATGACAATTTTACCTTATCAGGTGAAGGCAAACAAGTACTCGTCAGTCAGAAAGCTGTTACTGGCAAGCACAGACGTCTTCTTATAATTCATTGGTAAGTAAGTATGATCAAAAGTAGGAACACTGAAGAATCTGAGTTTGGAACCAACAACTTATATTAGCAAGAGTCTTTATTTATTATCAGGAATTTAGCTCAGGAAGCCCTGATGGATTGGATCTAGAAGATCTGAATCCATGCTTAACCCCTTATGCCAAGACAAAACCAAAGGTTCTTGCCTTTTTTAACCTTGGAAGTCAAACCTCAGGTTGTTTGTTGCTCATTAGCTCACAAGATAGGTGTGACTTAACGCTTTGATGTTTCGTGCAGGAGTTTGAGAGGGTTGATTCAGCGGAAGAGAGCTTATCAGGGAGAAGCACTGTTACAACAACAACAGGAGGTAAAGTAAAATCGACTTCAGGATGTGTAAAGCTGTCAAGGAGCTCATAGGGAAAGTCAGGGCAGAGATCAGAGGAGAGAAAAGGGTGGGAGAATGTTTTAAGGTCAAAAGGTAACCTTTTATTCCACTTGATATGTTATGTCTCATGCTCTCAATCTCAGAGGGTAGTATGATTTTGGTAATAGCGTATGGATGCAATATTGAGTTGAATAAGTTACAAGTGTTGTGTGTAAAATATAAGTCGTTTTAAATAAGGTAAACTGGTATGAGAGATGATGATTTTCCTTTGCTTCCCCTCTTCTCACTTGATGATCTCAGTGATTAAATCATCATTTATATTGTTGTTATCAGAGATGATGATGTTTTTAAGTAAATATCAGTTGATTTTGTTTTGTTTTTCCAGCAAAGCAAAAAACAAACGGAGCGTAAAATAGCCAGTTTTTGTTCTTCTTCTGCTTTCTTCGATTTACTTCTCTAATATAAAACACTAGGGGGTGATCCGCGCTTCGCGCGGGTTGTGTTAGTTTTATTATTTTTCCTTAAAGTTAATATTTTTTCAAAGATATTATACATATATTACTTAAATATAATTAAAGTTAGGCAAAAAATTTGTACCGTCTTGTTCCATCTCGTCCCATTTCGTTCATTTTCACCATGTACATTCTTTTTCGTCCCGTCCGTCCTGTATGTCCCGTCTCGTCCAATCTCATCATATCCTATTTTGTTATGTCTCATTTCGTTTCTTCTCGTTTGGTTCCTTATATATAATTAGGGTTAGGCATAATTCTATTCATTTTCATCTTGTCATGTTCTTTTCCGTTCATTCTGTCCGCCGCATCCAATTCCATCATATTATATTATGTTCTTTTCTATTTTATCTTATCTCTGTCTCGTCTCTAAATATAATTAATAATTAGGGTTAGGCAAAATTCTTGTCCCGTCCCTTTTCATCCCATTATGTCCCTTTACATCTCGTCCCATCTAGTCTCGTCACATTTTTTTTTTTCATTTTGTCCCGTTCAACGTTTTTGTTTTGTCCTCTCTCATCATGTTTTTTTGTCTAATCACTTAATATAATAAGAAGTAAACAAAATTTGCGTCTTTAACACTTCTATTTTTTGGTCTTGTCATGTTTGATCTCGTATTATTTTATTCCAAAATACTAAAAAAATATGTTCTTTTTATAACAAATTTCTATTATTATTATTAAATTATAATTTTTGTAGATCTATATATATTTTTTTTATAAATGACTTCATATTCTTATTAAGTTACTATAGTAATAAATGATACTTATTATAAAAATTTAAATAGAACAAAAAATAAAAATATAATAAATAAATTGATATGCTGATGTAGTAAATTGGAGAATTTAGAAGCCATCATAAGAGAGTAATATGAACTTTATATATATAAATATCCAAAATCAAGATATCACACGCTAACAAGTTTTGGCCAAAACTAGTCATATCCTAACAACGTCAAATCTTGTCATGTACCTAAGTTTAAACTTCTCCAATACTGTTTCGCGCAAATTAACTCTAGTATATGAGTACTATTATTATTAATTTTGGATTAAAATATACTAGTATTAATTAATTAGTGGTGTTCGTAATACTGAAGAAAGCAAAGAGAGTAAGCGTGTGTGGTGGGTCTCCATGACTTCATGATTATTAAGTCTCATACTCCTACGTAAGCCTTTCTCTATCTTTTTGAATAACTGTGTGATAAATCAAAGAGGTAAGAAGACAGAGTTGCTTTGGAAGACTGGTTTATGTATTTTAATAGATTTAGACTCTTACAAAATAATGTTATGAGATGCATAAACATATATAGTGATGAAACCAACTTAATTTTTTAAACTAATATGGAATAAATCTATTTGAGATAAGATAAGCTAAATTTCATAATCTTAGATATTGCCGGATATTGTGTTTTCAGTTCACCATCTTAGTAGGTCAATTTCATCATCTCCCAATATTGTAGTTTCACCGAAGTTGCTTGTGCCACTAATTTTACATTTGTTTAATTAAGTTAATTTTATGACAAAAAGAGGGATTGAGTAAAGTGAATCAATATAGTTTTCTCTCCAACCAAAAATATGATAAAATAGATAAATAACGAGATTTGCAATATTCTTAGAAATTTCCTTCATAAAAAAAAAGCTCTTAGAAATTTCAAAAACTGTAGTCAATTCAACTGATATTAAGTTTCCTTTGATGGAACATGTTGTACGTATTTTACTGACCAGTGTATTTGAAAGCAGTTAAAGATTTGTCAGAATTGTTTTGTTCCCTGAAAAAACGCCAACCAGCCAGTGAGGGCATGGGCATTTCTAGATTCTCTAGGAAAGGGACGACATTTCATGCTTTTACATCTCATCCTCTTCTTTTTTTTGTTAACCCTTTTGCTTTTAGAAAAAAAAAAGGTTTAGTAAAGGATTTGTTTTTTTTTTTTTTTTTAATAATAAAATATATATTATTAATTCAACCCAAAAAAATGGGCATCGGCCGATTACACTTTCCGACAATCAGACAACAGTAAAGGATTTGTTTCACTATTTATAGCGTGTGTACTCACCTTTTCTGGCCAAGGCACAATCAGACAGCGTTTCCATGCAAGTCACGATTTGTATCCTCCATAGTCCATATCTCTCAATTTCTCTAGAGAAAATGACAGGTGTCAGACAGTGAGAGGAGGGTCGGGGTTCCTGGATAACGCATTGTGATGTGAGTGTGACGCAAACGCGTTCTCTTCTATCTGCACATTCCTCTCCTTTTTACTATTTTGCCCTCTCATACCCGTACAAAGTACAAACCCTACGCGCTTCCACGCGTCGCTTCCTCACTCCCGTCTTTACACACATGACAGAGCTGAAAAGTCAGTCAGAAGAATAGTAACTAACTCGTGTTTTTAACATTTTTACATGAACAATAATATTTAAAACATGACAGAGCTGAAAAGTCTGCCGGTTGAAAATTCGTACGCCACCGAAACAAGGATTTTAAGAACCTCGCACTTTCTATCTTTTATGCTTTATGGCATTGGCAGCTAAATTAAATAGATGTACATTCTCTTTTCTCCTCCGTTTCCCTTACATGATTATCACTGTTCGTTAATGTAATACAACTTTGCTTATGTATTCGAAAATTTCCAAACGTATTTGCTCTGATCCACTCATCTATCGACATATATGCATTAGCGATATTTACACTAACTAGAAACTAGATACTAAGTTTAAGTAGATCAATCGTTGTGCTACTACTAAAGCTGGCTAGTTCAAACAATTTTTGTTGTTGTTGAAAATCTCGAGTTCTGGTTTCCGACTACGTTTCTTGATTTCTTGATTGAAATGAAAGTACCCATAGTCAATCATTTTTAATTAGTCCATAAATTTAGACGATATTCAAAACTTGAGAAATAATATTGAAAAATGACCATTTAGTCTTCAACCCAAAGTTCAATGGGTCGATTTTAAAACTTTTATTTGTTTGACATCTTACTAAATTCAAATGAAAATCAGCATACAAACAAAATTCAAAGTATGACTTTCGGTACCTTATATCATATTCTTACACTCTATTTTCTAAAATGTCACATTCGTTTTAAGTATATGGTATCCATAAGTTTGGTATCATTTATTTTTCACTAATTATAAAATTAGCGTGGTTGTTCCAAGCTGTAAGTGTTTTTTTTTTTTAATCTCAAAAGGATATCACTTGTTCTGTAATGTAAATTGTGAAATTCTTGTAAAAATTAAGAAAATCATAAATGGAAAAATACACCACAGGATTAAGTATTTTACAAAGAAAGTAAGGAACAGTGGAAGTGCTACTACTGCCGTCCAGAAGTCAATAGTCAGAGTGGCATTAACGAAAATAAGTAGACTAAAAGGGGGCAAAAAAGTAGTTGGTAGAGAGTCATGACAATTTGCACTTTTATTATATCCTTCTTCCTCCTCTTCCTCATCAAAAGCTGATTCTTGAGTAAGCAACGAAACCTTCTTCTTCTCTTTGTCCCTTTCCAACAATCTCCCAATCCACAAAAAATCCCTTCAGCTTCTTATAAGGTTAGCTTCCCTGATGATCTACGCACTCCCTTTCTCTTTTATTTATTTGTCAAACTGTTCAATTCCATCTGCTTTCCGGAATTGAAATTTGCTTCCTTTTTTGTTTTTCCATAAATGAACGAAACTGTATTCTCATCAAATTTACTTCGGTTTTAAAGCTTTTGATTATATGGTTTTTGGAATCCCAGCCTTTTGATTGTTGGTCTTGAATGGTTTTGGCCCTCGTTTGTTTTTGGTCCCCTGTACCCAAAATTCGCTTTGTATACGCCATCTTTTGATTAGAAATTACCAAAAATTTGTACCAGTAAATGCATAAATTCATGACTGAGACTCTGAATTTTTAACCCCAAAAGTTTAACCTGACTTGTGATTCCAATTTGTTCAACCTCTGCTTTAGGGTTTGACTCCAGCTCTGAATTGATTATTTCTCTTATAGGAATCTTAAGGCAGTTTCAAAAAGCGCTCTTTAATTCCTGAAACATGTTTAGATCTGTTTTCTAATGACTTTGAGCTAAGAGACTAGACCTTGTTTTGTCCTTGCTTTGCTTTGTTCTGGTGTAGCTCACTTGTTCTTGTCTTCCTTTTCCTTAGAGACAGGATCGAAGATCGATCAGTGGTGCGTGTTGCTCTGAGAGTAATTTTCAATGCAAACGTCTCAGAAACATCACAGTGCAGCTGGACTGCACATGCTGTATCCTCAAGTCTACTGTTCGTCTCAGTTCCAAGTGATAGACAACAAGAACAACAACAACAGTGGCTTCTCTGACATCCCATCCAAAGAAAGCTTCTTCACTCTCGAGTCCTCCACTGCCTCTGCTGGTGGTAGCCTTCCTTCCTATAGCGACTCCCCTTCCGTGAGCATCACATCTGGCCCGAGTCCGTTTTCTCCTCAGGGCTCTCACTCCTGCATCTCCGATCTCCATCCTTCCCCTGACAATCCCTTGTCTTCTTCTTCTTCTTCTTACGAATATGACGAAGCCGGTTTCAAGAGCAAAATCCAAGAACTCGAGGTCTCGCTGCTGAGCTGTGATCCCAAAGCTGAACAAGACTCGGGTCTCAGCTCCAAGTCGTGGAACTGGGACGAGCTCCTGGCGCTGACTCCACAGCTGGACTTGAAAGAAGTGCTCGTGGAAGGCGCTCGTGCGGTCGCCGACGGGGATTTCGCTACAGCGTTTGGATTCATCGACGTCTTGGAGCAGATGGTGTCGGTCTCAGGGAGTCCGGTCCAACGGCTAGGTGCTTACATGGCAGAAGGGCTTAGAGCAAGGCTTGAAGGCTCTGGGGGCAATATATACAGAGCCTTGAAATGCAATGAGCCAACGGGAAGAGAGCTCATGTCTTACATGGGCGTCCTCTACGAGATCTGCCCTTACTGGAAATTCGCCTACACGTCTGCGAATGCTGCCATCTTGGAAGCAGTTGCTGGGGAGAGCAGAGTCCACGTCATCGATTTCCAGATCGCTCAGGGGTCACAGTACATGTTTCTCATCCAGGAGCTTGCGAAACGTCCTGGTGGGCCTCCGTTGCTGCGTGTGACTGGTGTGGATGATTCACAGTCGAGGTATGCTCGTGGAGGAGGGCTCGGCTTGATAGGTGAGAAGCTCTTGAAGATGGCGGAGTCGTGTGGTGTGCCCTTTGAGTTTCACGATGCTGTCATGTCAGGGAGCCAGGTGCAGCGAGAGCATCTTGGAGTGGAGCCTGGCTTCGCTGTTGTTGTGAACTTCCCGTACGTGTTGCACCACATGCCTGACGAGAGCGTGAGCGTTGAGAACCACAGAGACAGGCTGCTGCATCTGATCAAGAGCCTCTCGCCGAGGCTCGTGACGCTGGTGGAGCAAGAGTCCAACACCAACACCTCGCCGTTTCTGTCACGGTTCGTGGAGACGCTTGATTACTACACGGCCATGTTTGAGTCGATAGATGCGGCGCGGCCGCGGGATGATAAGCAGAGGATCAGCGCGGAGCAGCAGTGTGTGGCGAGAGACATAGTGAACATGATTGCGTGTGAGGAGTCGGAGAGAGTGGAGAGACACGAGCTGCTGGGGAAGTGGAGGGTGAGGATGATGATGGCCGGGTTCATGAGCTGGCCAGTGAGCACGTCAGCAGCGTTTGCAGCGAGTGAGATGTTGAAAGGTTATGACAAAAACTACAAACTTGGAGGGAGTGAAGGAGCGCTCTATCTCTTCTGGAAGAGGAGACCTATGGCTACATGTTCAGCTTGGAAGCCAAACCCAAACCAGATTGTGTAGGACATGTTTGGTGACTGAGTGGATGAAGAAGAGCACAACAAACACACATCTGTCACTGTGAATTTTTGAGGATGTGAAATGATGTTTTTAAGTTGTAGCACAAAACTAAGTCAACTAGTTATATTTGTATACAAACAAAACCTGGTGGTGGTTGTTTCTTCTTCTCCTGTAAATTTGTTGTTGTTGTGAGGTTGTTGCTACTAATCGAAACATACAACCAATGAACCAAAGCATTAATTAGGTCATTAGTATGAGTCAACTGGCGGCTGAACCAAAAGGTTGTGAGGTCAAAATGTTAAGACCAAATCTACGGGTCAGATTGGTTCCTGTCTGATAAGCCCTTAATGGAGTTTACCAACCCACAAAACCAAGGATTCAACAAAATACAGCTCATCACCTCCATTTTATTCTTTACTTTGTTAGGTTCAAGCTTCCTTTATTGCCTTTAATACTTAAAAAAATAATATGTAATTTCTTCCTAAGTGTTCTTTGTCTAATTCTCTATAATTGTTTCATCCAATAACCAAACCGTAAGACTTGGAAGCAAAGAAGGGAAGAGGAGTCCCATTTATTTGAAAATCCTAATTTAATTCAAAGGGAGATATTGAGTGACTTCCACTAATACAAAGAAAGCTTGGTTTGTGCAATATTTTGCGGTTAAGCTATTTATTGCTGAGGCAACACCTTTTCACCACTTTGCTTTCCTTCTTTCAAGTTTCAAGTTTCAACCTTGTATCAATCAACATTACAAAATCACTCACTTGGATAATGCTCTGTATTAAAAAAGTTGACATATCTTTTTGATAAGATTAATCTAGTTTTTCTTTCTCTCAAGACTATCATAATTGTTATCTGTTGTTACCTACATTCATAATCTAATCAAAAATTAATAAAGACAAAAGGATACAAGGGAATAAAGATTATAAAAAAAACAGAAAGAAAGAAATGGTTTTCACCAAACGAAATACTTCAATCATTTAAATCATCTTTATCCTTATGATTAGTGTCTTTATATCTGTCATATGCCTGCCTCTCCTTCCAACTCCTTTTGGATTATTCTCTTCTTCTCTCGCTTAAACACATTGTTTTTGTTTATTTTAATTTCCAGAAAGCGTGTCCAATAGCATTCATTAGTATTAATGTTGGAACATGAAAAATATGGGGTAACTATGATGATTAGCCAAATCTTAAGGACAGTAATTGTCTAGTTGATAATCATTCATCTACTTAAAAGAATGCAATCCATAGTGAATAGCTGAGAGTCAATTAGATAAATAATTTTAAAAGGAGAAAATCAACAACTTGAAAGCATTTTAGAATTGAAAATTAAGGAGGAAGATAAGGGAGGATGAATCATGGGTAGTGAAAGAGAAAGAAGAAGAGGGAAGGGTTGGTTACTGTCAATGGCTTCAAATGGAGACGGTTGCTTGAGAATGAGGGAATAAAAAGTAAGTAAGTTTAAAAACTCTCTCTCCTTAAAACGTCAATTCCTTAAAGGAATGGCCTCTCTCTCCCTCTCTAAAAGTGAGTGTGTATATATATAAAACGCCTCCATTTCTCATCTGTATCATTTCATCTAACTGCTTAGACCAAACAAAGAAGGAGGAGCCGTTAAGAGTAAAAATGACTGCAGGAGAAAACCCTTTTGCATCTTACACCTCTTCTCTGCAAAACCAGCTTAAAGGTTCTTCTTTTCTTCTCTGTATTTTTCTTCATCAATCCTTGTGAGGAATTGCTTGCTTAATGTTCTTTTATTTTCTGTCTGCAGAAAAGGACAAGGAGCTTTTGGCTGCCAAAGCTGAAATAGAGGCTTTGAGAACAAATGAAGAGCTCAAAAACAGAGCATTTGGGGAGGTATGCTCAAAAACAGAGCATTTCTTGATTTTAGAATTAAGTTAAAGTAATGAAATGATTGTGGAGTAGCAGGAGGTGGAGATGAAGAAGCTGGAAGAAGAGAAAGAAGATGCATTGGCGGCACAAGACGCTGCAGAAGAAGCTCTGAGGAGGGTTTACACTCACCAACAGGACGATGACTCTCTACCCCTTGAGTCCATCATAGCGCCTCTTGAAGCTCAGATTAAGTTTCACAAGCATGAGGTCTTTGACTACAAACCAACTATTTCAAACTTGTTCCCTTGTTTCTTCTTCTTTGTGTTTACAAGATGCAAGTGTTACAGATTTCTGCGCTTCAAGAGGACAACAAAGCGTTGGAACGTCTGACAAAATCAAAAGAATCAGCTCTTCTTGAAGCAGAGAGAATCTTGACAAGTGCACTTGAGCGTGCTTTGATCGTTGAGGAGGTCCAGAACCACAACTTTGAACTCCGAAGACAGATTGAGATCTGCCAGGAGGAGAACAAGTTTCTTGAGAAAATCAACCGCCAGAAAGTGTTGGAGATAGAGAAGCTCTCTCAAACCATTGGAGAATTGGAGGAAGCAATATTAGCAGGAGGAACAGCCGCAAATGCAGTCCGAGACTATCGCCGTCAAATCTCCCAGCTCAATGCAAGTCATGTTCTTGTTTATATTTTCTTATATATTTACATGCTCACATACTCACCATTATTTTTTGTCAACATGAACAGGAAGAGAAGAGAACCTTGGAGAGAGAGCTGGCCAGAGTCAAAGTGTCAGCAAGTAGAGTGGCTCTTGCTGTTGCTAACGAGTGGAAAGATGAGAACGATAGAGTAATGCCTGTAAAGCAGTGGCTTGAAGAGAGAAGGCTTCTCCATGTATTGATTCTCACTTACATAACCACTAAACAAAAAGTGACTGGCTTATATTGGAAACATGATTGTTGAATTTTTTGTGTCTGAAATGCAGGGAGAAATGCAGAAGTTGAAAGATAAACTTGCTGTTTCAGAGAGAACCGCTAAGGCTGAAACACAGCTAAAGGTGAATAATTCATCTTATATTGTTGTTTAATCTTATTGATTCTCACTTACATAACCACTAAACAAAAAGTGACTGGCTTATATTGGAAACATGATTGTTGAATTTTTTGTGTCTGAAATGCAGGGAGAAATGCAGAAGTTGAAAGATAAACTTGCTGTTTCAGAGAGAACCGCTAGGCTGAAACACAGCTAAAGGTGAATAATTCATCTTATATTGTTGTTTAATCTTTTGCTGCAAGAAAAAGTGTAGCTTCTAATGCTTCTTTAAGTAAAAAATACAGGAGAGGATGAAGCTGAGGTTAAAAACAATAGAAGATGGCCTGAAGGGACCAAACACGTTTTCTGTCTCTACAACAACTACAAAGACTGAAAAATCTGGCAAGATCTTAGGATTCTTGACGAGTGGTGGTGGATCAAAGAAAAGGTCTACTTCTCAGCCACGAGGCTCAGTTACAGGCAGAATCCATGCTCTCAATAGAGTTGCAGAAAGTGATGAAAAAGAGAACTCAAAGGTTACAGCAAACGGATTAGTTGATGAGCATGAAGAAGATGACAAAAGGAAAGCTGAGGAAGATGGTAATGTAGATTCTGAAGATATGGTTTCAGGGTTTTTGTATGACAGGCTTCAGAAGGAAGTAATCGCACTAAGGAAGATTTGTGAGAGTAAAGAGGGCACTATAAATGCCAAAAATGAAGAAATCAAGGTAACTTCATATTTTTTTCTTCTTCTTGGTTTTGTTTTATCTCTTCAAGTATGTGAAAACCTTACTTAAGATGACTCTGTACTCAGATGTTGTTGAAGAAAGTGGACGCTCTAACGAAAGCCATAGAAGTGGAGACAAAGAAGGCAAAGAGGGAAGCTGCAGCGAGAGAAAAGGAAAACGCAATGGCAATGTTGAAGGAAGAGTCAAAACAATGTAGAAAGCCAAAGTTGCCGAGAAGGTTTGGTTCATCGTTTTCATTCATTGTTAATTTGTCTCTGTCTTCTGAGAAATATACACAGTCAAAGCTGATATTTATCTGTCTATGCTATGTTGTGCAGCCGCCTACCCAACTCACGCTGAAGATCTTGTCCAATAGAGGAAGAAGAAGAAGAAGAAGCTTTGGGAATGAAGATATTAAAGAATATGGTCTTAGTTTAGGTTGTACAGTACATTCTTGAGTGTTGGATGGATTATAAACAAAGTGAAACTAAAAATCTTTATTAAAGAACATACTAATATGTGTGTGTGCCTGTGTTATGTCTTTTGGTTTTTGCAAAACATTTTTTCAGATGATGAAACAAAAACCGCCTCTTTTCTCCTATTGAGTGTTGAGTAATTAATTAGAAATTATCAAGAATATCTGAGCATGAAGCAAACATAAACTGTATTTATCTTTTTACATCAAACAAGAAGAGCATGAATAAACATTATATACAAAGACTGTCTCTCTTTCTCTCAAGAAGTGAGAAGGAACCATATAATGAGGAAAAAGAAAAGATTGATCTTCCTAGCAAGATCAATATAGAAACTCTATTTACATGGTTCTCTGTGTAAGGTGATGTTGCCGGCTGTGTAGACGCGGGAGCCGTTGGAAGATGAAACGAGTTTGATGATACCTCTGTGAATCTTGGGAGAGCATTGATGATAGGGTTTAGGAACAGAGAGTGGTCTGATGGAACAAGCCTTGTGTAGATCAGGAATTGCATGGAGATGAGAAGGAAGATCCATGACGACTTGACCAAACTCATTTGTCACAGCTTTGATCCATTTGGATCTCCTCCTCCTAAATCCAGTGTGGCACTTGATGCCAACGGTAACACCTACATGATCATGATATGTTACTTAAGGATGTAAAAGAGAAGAGTAGATGAGCTAATCCACTTTAAAGACGTACCAGGAATAGGATCGTCGGAGGAAGAGAGAAGAGAGGCGGTGAGAAGGACGGAGGAGAGTTTGAGTTCGCCGTAGCCAGCCATCTCCACCATATCCTTTCGGCTCCATCTTAGTCTGTCCCCAACTGCTTCCCCGAACGCCATTAATAATACCAACGTCAAGCCACGGAACAAGAATCTCATCTCCATTTTTCTTTCTTTCAAATCTATATATGTAAACAGCTACGTACCAATAAGCTCAGAAATGCAAGAAGCAAGCATGTGTGTATAACTATATATATACACACAAAAGGATCAATGGATTGGTTGTATAAGATTTAAAGATATGAGACCCTTAAATTTGCCTTTTTATATATAAGAGCAAAAACTCTTTCTTAGTTTGACTTTTTATCTTATCTGGTCAATTTGGCTGACTACATATCTCTCTTTTAATAATCCAAGCACATAAACGGCAATTCTAAGCAATTACTAGCTTGCCTAATCTTAGTTTATTCTTCTTTTGCCCTTTTTTAGTTGATAAGTTTGATCATTGTTTGGTCAAATATCAGTATGGTTATGCGACGTTTCTCCTTTTGATTTGTCTTTATTTTATAAATAAATATTATGTTTCAAAGTCTAACCTAAGTTTGGAGGGTCAGAATTCACAAATAATCAAGCCTGCCCCAACTGTTTTTTTTTTCCTTTTCTTCTAGACATTTGTAGCTTTTGAACGAAGACAAATTGTTTTCTCCTTTTGTGGGAGGGAGTTTTGTGTGGGTTGGTTATCAGTTATCTCTCCAATTAAAATACCCCAAAATGTTTGTTGTAATAATGTGTATGTGATTACAAATCAATATATAATTTAATTCATTTTTCTTGTACTTGCACCATTTTATCTTTTGGATAAGAACCTTTTATTTTATAAACAAAATTTAAAATTTTATCTTTCAATATTCAAATATATATTACTTTTATTATTTATTGTCAATATAATGTAATTAGTTAATTCATTTTCAAAATAGTTTTATTACAAATAAATTTGAGGTTATTAGTTCTGCCACTTTAGCTACAAATAATGTATTACATAAAAAACATATATATATATATATATATATATATATATATCCTTATCAATACAAAGAAAATAAATCTATAAATAGGTTTCAATCAAATATGTTTGATTTCTTAAACAATTTTCAAAGGGGTTCGACCGAAAGAGAAGTTTTCAAAAAAGGGTTACCACAAAAATAAAAGTTTTCAAAAGCTTTGTTTTAAAAATATGACACACGTGGATTAAGTAAGCAAGGGGTTTAGTTGAACCCTAACATATAATCCATTTCTCAACCATTCCATTCCTATGAAATCGTCGAGAAAAGAAGAATGTTACTTCTGATGTGAGGTGAGGTCGGACCACCCACCAAATCTAGCATAACGTGTGTGCTCGTAGTCGTATAGAAAACTTAGATTTCGTGATTTATTTTGAAATCTCTTTGTCGTGATCCACTAACGACTTTTGAATGGTCGGATTAAGATCACCTTGGTCGTAGGAAGGACTCTGGAAGAACCAATGTAGCGTATTATGCGACGAGTTATGATAGTATTGGTGCACTTAATTGAACTTTTGATTAATAAACAGCACTAAACACAAATCACTACCATCGAGTCATCGACATGTCTGGTTTTGTGAGGCACAACAATCATCTTGGTCAGACGGTGAAAAAAGAGCTTCTCACTAATTTACAGCTTTACACTAAAATAATTTTGCAAACAAACCCCAAAGTTTAGATATCTACCAAAATTAGCCCCAGTTTTTGTTTTTTTTTGTGTGTTGGGTTTAATTGATAAAAACCTCTATTGATCCTATTTGTATCTAAAACAAACACGGCGTCTCCGTCTCGTCGAGTTTTCTTTTTACAAAAGCAAATGGCGTCGTCTTCTTCATCTCCGGCGGTGGATGCAGTGTCCGCGATGGAGGAGGAGCTAACTCTTGTAGTAAAGTGGAGTGGGAAGGAGTATACACTCCGAATCTGCGCCGATGACTCGGTTGCTGAGTTGAAGCGTCGCATCTGCTTTCTCACCAACGTCTTGCCCAAGCGCCAGAAGCTTCTCTACCCCAAAGTCGGAAACAAGCTCTCCGATGACTCTCTTCTGCTCTCTCAGATCCCTCTCAAGGCTTCTCTCAAGATGACAATGATCGGGTCCTTCTCAATCTCTCTCTCTCTCTCTTAACCCTAATCATCATTCTGTGGTTTTGGGAACGGACTGCATTGAATTGTTAGCATAAGAGAAGAAACGGAAGGAGACTGATGGTTGTTTTTGTTTTCTGATTTTCAGTACTACCGAAGATGATATAATCGTAGATCAAGTTACATCTCAGGAAATTGTTGACGATTTTGAACCGGGCAAGGACGAAGTTGTGGACATTGAAGACAAAGAAGTCAATAAGCAGAAGCTCAGGAGAAGAATTGATCAATACAAGGTGAGTTCTATTTGGGGGAAAGAGTTTCAATTTACAATTCATCCATACATACTCCTTCTCGTTTAGTCTAGATTCGTGCTCGACTTGACCATTATAAAGATGAGATCTGTAACTTTTGGATTCAATGTAGATTAATGCTCTGTGCCAAAATTTTCGTTTTTCAAAAGCTTCTTGTATGATTTGCAGATTAAGCTTGTGAATCCATGTCGCAAAGGCAAGAAACTTCTTGTTCTAGATATAGACTACACGCTGTTTGATCACCGTTCCACAGCCGAGAACCCGCTACAGCTGATGCGTCCTTGTATGCTTCTTGATTTTTCTTGTGTCTATATTTTACTGGTGGTCTTACATATAGCATTTATCCACTGATGAGTCTCTGGACTATTCAAACTGCAGATCTTCATGAGTTTCTTACTGCTGCTTATGCAGAATATGATATCATCATATGGTCTGCCACTAGGTAATGCTCCTTTTGGATAATCTTCATGTATGACTATCACTTTATCTCGCACCTTTATGGTTAATCCGTTTTGATTTGTGTAGCATGAAGTGGGTTGAGTTGAAGATGGGAGAGCTCGGTGTGCTGAACAATCCCAACTACAAGATCACAGCCCTTCTCGACCATCTAGCAATGATCACGGTTCAGTCAGACACTCGCGGGATCTTTGATTGCAAGCCACTAGGCTTAATCTGGGCACTATTGCCTGAGGTATATTATCCCACATTGGTTGTTGTGTTATTGTCTTCTCTTGGATATGGTTTTGCTCATTTGCTGTTGTTATATGCAGTTCTACAATGCCCAAAACACCATAATGTTCGATGATCTGCGGAGGAATTTCGTGATGAACCCTCAAAACGGTCTCAAGATCAGGCCGTTCAGGAAAGCTCATGTGAACCGAGACACGGATGAAGAGCTTGTGATGCTGACTCAGTACCTTCTAGCAATAGCAGAGCTTGACGATTTGAGCTCTTTGGATCATAGCAGATGGGAGACGTTCACTGAAGATAACGTCAAAAGGCGCAGGCACACTTAACTCTCTTATTAACCTTATTGCCGTTGTTTAGATATCTTGTTGCTACTTCCTATGTTTTTGGGTTTAGAAACACACCAAAACCAAAAGGGCCAATTTCTTCTAATCCCTAATATATTAAAAGAGAAAACACTAACTAAATAACCTTTGTCTAATGTGTTATTAACAAGAATGTCATTGCTTAGGTGTCATCACTAGGTTCACTCTTAGAGCAATTTCTAATTAAGACAAGCTTTACTAGACAAATTACAATATATGCCATTGCATATTATGCTTACAACCAAATAATGAAATTAAATTTATCATTCTCTTTCCTTAATTGGCAACTACGAAAATTAGTAAATAAGGAAGATATGAGATTCAATTTAATTCATCATAATAATTTCTTTTAAAATCAGTATCTTCTATCATCTTTGTTTAAATTTATTTAATAAAATAATTTGAATCACAATATAAAAAATCTATCAAAAAAATCTAAAACTTTTTCTGTACATGTTATGATTTGAATTTTTAAAAACAAAATAATATAAATTGTTTCGTATATAACCTCATTTAGTAGGTATCCAAATGTAATTTTTTTTTCATTTAATATGGTTTTTTAATTAAAATCTATAATAAATCGAATAAAAAAGTTCTTTTTATAAATATTTTATTTTGATTAAACTTTTGAATATTACTCTATCTGTTTCAACTTTCTATACAAAATTAATTATATTTTTGCTGTTTTGACAATTTGGATTCTGCATATTATTTTCTGATTGGTTGGATTGTTTTGAAATTATAATAAAGCATGTTTTAGTTTTGAAAGAAAAAAAAAATTAGTTCTAATCCGTGTCCACACAGCTAAAACTTTTTATCTTATGAAATACATGATGTATAATTTTTCTAAAGAATAATGTTTTATTTTCAATTTTTTTCTTTAAACTATCTTATTATATTATAGTTATTTGAGTTTTATGTATCTCGGTTAAATCTATCATATTTAATATGTGGTTACGATCAATGCTTTAATTTATTTTTTTTTTTAAATGGATTAAAATGCCTAATTTTCATACTATAAACGAATAACAAAGGTTAAAAATCTCTCGCATAAAATGTCGAAATATTTAAATAAAATTTTTAATAAAAATACAAATTCAGAAACTATCACCCCGTGCTGGGCACGGGTCAAACCCTAGTGTATTATTATTATACACCTATCTGAATTAAGTTATGTCATTTTTTTCTTTGTTATATATCTATCTTAAGGAAGTATTCTTATTTCTAGATACTTCCATGCATACTGAAGATAGATGTTCTTATTTTTAGGATTCGATTTCTAAAGATAGAAGAATGGAATCAATGGATAGAGGAAAGAAGAAGGAAGACCTTAGAGTGACAAAGGACATGAGCGCAAAACATGGCGACCCTCTTGTTCATTATTTGGAAGACGAAGATCCAGAGGATCAACATCAAACTCTCTTTTTTGATTACGTAAAACAAGACAACATTTTTGTGTTGAGCGAGGATCGATGGCGAAGATCAGAGCGGATGCTCCGGTGATGCCTCCGGAGACTCCCCCTCGGAGCAGTGAGGTGGGAGAGATTGACACGCGTGCTCCCTTCCAATCCGTTAGAGACGCCGTTAGTTTATTCCGTCAAGTTAGCTTTTCAAAGCAACAACCACCGCGTCTCTCCTCCTCCTCCTCCTCTCAGGTATATTCACTCCTTCCTCTCTGGCTCTTTCTCATTCTCATTGCGTTTCTCTAATCAGCTTTCTTTCTTTCTTCAAGGACGTAACGGATGTGTTGGACAAGGAGACGCAGCTTCTGTTAGCAGAACAAGAAATGGATAGAGTCCAGCTTTGTCTCGATGGCTCTGTCAAAGCGAGAGCACGAGCTCTCTCCGATCTCGACTCTGCACAGCGAAAGGCTGCAGATTTGAGGGCTAAACTAGAAACCACAAAACATTCCAGGAAATATGCCATGTTGACCAAGAACACCATGAATCAACGGTTAGAGCAGCTTCAGTCTGGAAACCAAGAAACAGAGAGCGCGAGAGAGAATTACATTCTAGTCACTGCGGAGCTGTTCATGGCGAAGCAGTTGCTCGCGGAGATCAAACAACAGTTCAACATCTCCGTGGAAGAAAGGCTAGCCGAGCTTCAAAGGGCAGAGGAAGCGGAGTGTGCATCCATGGTCAACTCCCAAAAGATCAAAGACATGTCGCAGGAGATAGCGGAGATGCGTGATGCTTTTGAGAAGTTGAAGTCCGATGCCGCCAGGAAGAAAGAGCAAGAGGAGAAGATAAAAGAGGAGAGCATTGCCTCGCAAGAAACTTACGCTGCCATGAAACGAGAAGCTGAGGAGAGGCTAGAGGAATTGAGGCGAGAGTGTGACCCTGAACTGAGGAAAGATATAGATGAGCTGGCTGAGATATCCGCAGAAAACGAGCGTTTGCAGGAAGAGATTAAACTTGCTCGTGAACTCAAAGAGACCAATATTGCGATGCAAGAGATTTGTGACGAAGAGAGTTCATACAAAAGCTTGGTGGGCTCACTGACAGTGGAACTGGATGGATTGCAGAGAGAGAACAGAGATTTGAAGGGAAAGGAAAAGGAGAGAGAGGAAGTTGAAGAAGGAGAGTGGGGAGAAGCGAGCCGTAAGGTTGATGAAATCATGCGTGAAGCAGAGGAAACAAGAAGAGAAGCAGAAGAGATGAGGATGAACGTGGATGAGCTCAGGCGAGAAGCAGCAGCGACGCATATGGCGATGGGGGAAGCAGTGAAGCAGCTGGAGATAGTTAAAAGAGCGGTGGAGAAAGCGAAAACCGCCGAGAAGAGAGCGGTGGAAGACATGAAAGTACTAACTGAGAAGAAAGAGAGTTTGACGCATGATGAGCCTGATAAGAAGATTAGAATATCGTTGAAAGAGTACGAGGATCTGAGAGGGAAGCATGAGGAGTCAGAGAGAATGGTGCAATACAAAGCGAAAACGGTTGCTGCTCAGCTGGAAGAGATCAGCGAGAGCAGAGTAGAAGGAGAGAAAATGTTGGAGGAAAAGATGAAAGAGATGGAAGAGGTGAAGATGGCGATTGATGGTGCATTGAGGAAAGCAGAGATTGCAGAGGAAGCACACTCCATCGTCGATGCTGAACTTAGAAAATGGAAACCACAAGAGTTGTAGCTTATTAGATTAGGAGGAAGATGCTAGATTTGTCCATACTAATTTATCTGTTTATATATGTATTTGTTGAAAGATTGATGATGATTGGAATTACTCACATTTCTCATTTTCACAGTAAATACATGAACTGCATTAACATGGAACAGAGACTTCAAAAAAAAGAGAGGAGATTTTGCAAGAGCATCTCTGTGTTTCTTGTACAATTTGGTCGTTTCTCATTTTTCAGACTCCCCCACTCTGTTTTTGATTTTCAAGCCTATGACACTCATCACCTTCTGCTTTGATTTCACTTTTTTGTTCTTCTCTCTACTCTTCAAATGTGTTTGGGAAGACGCTCAGTGTTCCGTCTTCCTCCTTTGTTCGCGGGTCTGTAATCTCCTTGCGCCTTATCTTGGAGACTTGGAGTTATGAATGTATTATGAATGGAGACATCTAATTCTCAAGAAGTAGACTTGGAGTTACGAACCGTGTTATATATATGTATTTCACCATAGGGAGAGAGGGAGAGAGATATTATGAATGTATCTTCGAAATAAATGATTACTAGGTCTTGACCCGTGCTTGGGAAGCACGGGATGTTGTGATTTCTAAAAGAACATTTTAATTATTGATACAATTATGTAAAAAAAAGTATGCATGTTTGTGATATATAATGATGAATTAGTTTTATTTTGATTGTCCAAGGATGAGATTAAATAAATATGTGATCATTAATGTTAAATTTGGATGAGTTAAAAATTGTTACTATTTGAAGCTAGATTCTGACCCCGAGAGAACGAAATCAAACCGAAATCGGCATCTGAATAATATAATATAAATATGTGTCGTCTTACGGTTTGCTTGCGTCTAATATTGAGCAGCACCAGATGTTGTGATTTTTGAAGATTTTTTTTTTTGAGTTAACAGCACCAGAGCAGCACCGAAATCAGCATCTTTAATAGTATAGATATTAAGTTTCTTGTTTTCAGATTTGATTAAAATGTTGTTATGGCAACATATGTTTTTTTAACCATATTTTAACCCTCAATTATTTAATACTATTTTACTTATTTCTTAGAGTAATTTTGTTTTTCGTTATGTTTTTCTTTTATTTCATTTTGCGTTATTCAAAATTGAGTTTCCTCGATCTCTACGTCTTCTTCTCCGATCCGAACGGCTGGTCGAATTCCTTCTTCGATCCCCGGTTGTTTATCTCGTCGTTGTTCGACGTTGTTGTTCTTGTTCTTCTCCTTCTCCTTGGTCTCCTTTCTCCTTCACACGCCGTTTCTCTTCTTCTTCTTCTCCACCGCCACCGAGAGTTCTTCTTCTATGATCTCGAAGTGTTTTGTCGTCGTCGACGTTGTTGTTGTTGTTCTTCTCCTTCTCCTTGGTCTCTTTTCTCCTTCACGACGTTTCTCTTTTTCTTCTTCTCCATCGCTGTACGATCTCGATCGATTCCTATCCTCTGTAAGGTTTGTAACTCTATGATTCCATTATTATGAGTTGCTATTAGTAGCTGATTTTAGAGATTTTATTTGATCAACCTTGAAAACTATTTGGTAAATCGTGTATCTGTTTTGTGAATTAGTAACTGAAATCGTGTATCTATTGCCTTTGACATTGAATTAGACGCATAGTATATTGATTTCTGATGTGTATTTCAATTTCATATAAGTTTTGTGTCAATCGTGAAAGTTCTGTGACAAATTTGGTTCCATTGTGTTGGTTGATTGTGTTGTTAATTGAATTGTATATTGATATAGTATGTTCTGTATATAAGCTGTTATAGATGTCGTTGCATCAAATGTGATTTTGCGAAACAGTCTCTTATCATTGCATCAAATGTGATTTTGCGTCAATGGAGCTTGTTCTATAGCTAGACGTTAACACTGAAATCTAAAGGTTACAGCTTTATAAAAGCTAATCACTCTGATTCTTGCTAATTCCTTACCTGAACACATACTATCACACAAACATGTTAAAATCAAGATTACAAATTTTCACATTTGATTAGATATGTTTTTTTTCTCTCTCAAAAAAATCTAAATTTAAAAGAATGTTGGGTCTGACCCATGATGTTGGTAACCATTGAGTTAATTAAATTTGTGAATATTAGATATTTAAGATTGGATATTGTTTTAACATTTAATTAAATAGAACTAAAGTGTCTATCCATATTATTTTTTGTTATTAGTGTGAAGCTCATTTTAGGAAGAGAAATTTATGTGTTAAGAAAACGATACTTTCTCTGTAGATCTAATCTTTTTTTTTTCCATTTGTAAATTTGTCTATGAAACAAAGTCAAAATTACAAATTTTCAGATTTAATTAAATCTATTATTGTTTTCCGTCTCTCCAAAAAGACCCATATCTAAAAAATATGTTGATTCTAACTTGTGATGTTACTAAAGTTTGAGTTGATTAAATCTGTAAGCATTAGGTTTTTAAGAGGGTTGTTGTAGCTCTCACTGTAGCTTCTTATTAAAACGACACAACATAAAAGAAATGACATAACATAAGGTTCTTTGAATCCAATGAAAGCCTCTTCCTGCCATAGAGTCTTTCACTTCTTCCTTCTCTCATACATCGCCACTTTCATTTGCCTTCTCCCACTTGCGAGCTCTTCTCCCTTCCGATCTCTTCTTCTTCCTCATATAGGCTAAGGGAATGCCGAGTCTATCGATAAATTGAGCTCTCCTGAGACCCAAAAATGGGCTCTCCTGATTCATAAAACCCATGCATTTCTTTCTGAAACCTCAGTTATAACTCATTCTTCCCAATTTGCAGAATCGAGAACTTTAAATCTTGCCTTCGATTTCACCTGCAGATTTAGCTCGATTAGATAGTGCGATGACCTGCAATTTCTCCTTTCACCGGCAGATTCACCTCGTTCTTCGTTTCTTTTGATGCAGCTTCTGCAAATTTCAGTGTCAAGCTTCAAATCACAGCGAATCCATCGCACAGGCATTTCTAAACTTAGTTTCACCTTCAGTTTGGATATAATATTTGTTTATGTTGATGATCTTAATAAATTTAGCATCTCTAATTTGTTTTCTTTTCCTTTCAATTCAGGACTATACTTCCGCTTCTTCCCAGTTCATCAATGGTTTAAAGAAGGATCCTCACCTGTAAACCTTCCCTTGATAGAAACTACAGGGACTGTGTTGTATGGAAGACGATGACGTCATTTAACCCAGGTATATCTTAATTGTTCCCACGTTCATACCGGTTTCTAAAGATGAGAAAGAACCTTTACGTTTTTTGGATTAGAACCTTAATGTTCTTAGAAATATCTGCATAACGTTTTAGAGATAGACACGAGAAAGAAGTGAGACACTTTTTCATTTTATAAGTAAGTGTGAGTGTTCTTGGGGAAAAACAGGGGAGATATAAAAACAGAGAGAATAAATCTTGTAAGAAAGTTTTGGGTGTTTTGATCTCTTGTAAAACCTTGTGATTTAGTGGATTCCGGTGACACTGATCCCGGCCAGACGTAGTGACCTTCTTTAACAGGCACGAACTCGTTAAATGCTCTCGTGTGCTCTTCTTCTTATCGCTTCTCTGTTCTTATTTGGTTCCTTCTTCTTAGTGTTCAGACTCTGTTTCTCTGCAGGATCTTGGTTTGTTGGTGTTATAGAGTTGTAGAGGCGTCAGCTTTAGGCTCAAATAATCCTAACAACCGTTAACTATGAATCTAACTAAAGAGTTTGCTCATAACGTATGCATGTGTTATCGATATGTTTTTATTCGTTAACTATGAGTTTTTTTGGTTTCCAGTTCTGTGCATGTTGGGTTGTCTATCCGTGAAGAAGAAGTGATGCTATGGCTTGGGTTTCATTCTCAGTTAGAAAGTTTGGTTTTTGCTTAATGCTTATAGAGGTTTCTACTATTGTATCGTTGGATAAATTTCTTGTTAGCAAAGATGTTTAGATCTTGCTCTTAGATCACATAAGTTCTGCTATGGATGGAATTGCTTTTTTTTGAAATAGATGGAATTGATTATAGCACACTCCTGCTTTGTTTTATGAAGCCAAGTAGCAGGTCACATTGTTGTCACCTACATGAACATGACCACAGTTAATAGAGAAAGAATTCAGAATAATGTATTGTGTTCTATTAACATTTTGTTACCCTTTTCCTTAGCTAAAATCAGCTCTAATGTCTGTGCAGATGTTGCCTCGTTTTGCTTTCAAACATGCAGGACCTTTACTTGGATTCGTCATGATGTTTGAAAGTATTATGTGAAACATAAAAGAGTAGTCATTGAAATTGACATGTGGTGTGCGTAAATGTGTTTTTTGGTGTTTGCCATGGTGTGGCTTTTCTTGTAAGCTGCTAACGATTGAATTATTTACAATAGATTCTTCTCGATTGCAAAGTCAAAGTCTGTGAACCATTCATCTGATTTTTTTTTGTCTTTCTGCAGCAGATAAGGTAGAAGATAGAAGAAAGAAGAATCAAGCTCTACCTGTTTTGTAAAACCCAACCATGTAATTTTTGAATTCATCTCTGATTTTATTTCGTTGAAGCACAAAGAAAAAGTATTTAACTTCTTATTTTGTTATGCGTAAACAAAAAATCTTGATATTGTTTATGCTTATTTCACTACATTTCAGACCCAAGAAGTCAATCTCCAATCAACTCGAGTCCCTTTAGAAAACGCAGGTAAACAACTTTACCTCACCTAGTTTCTTCCTCGAAGCAAATTTCTCATGTCATAGGTAGACTTTTTCAAAATATTTTATATGAATTTACAATAGATACATAAAAGTTTAGAACACTTTATTATCAAAGAAAATGAAACGATCATTCTGAGATCATATTAAACTTGTCTACAAACTAAGTTTTCTCGTCTAAACCCTCCATAGTTCTTGTCTCGTCTAAACTCACTTTAGTTGTCTTGAAAGATGTGCCCTTATTCTTCTTAGTATCCTCACCTTTACCTTAGTTTTCTTAAACTCCTCTGCCATAGTCTTCACCAAAGATTTTTGTGTGCAAGACTTATTTGATGTATATTGCAGG